TAATAAATAATAATAAAGCAAACAATGTAAGACATGTTCAGTGAACAAACTGCTGAAACTGGATGTTTTGGGCCAAAAGGCACAATCATCCAAGCCTAGATGTAAAATCAATACAACAAGCCAACTGCCATTCTAAGAAGCAAGAAAATATTAAAAAGGATAATAGTTTAAATGAATGCATCTTTTTCTTCTTCAGCATTCCGAGCCCTTGAGGTTCGTTTCTGCAGATATCACTCGCCTCATTCATCTCTCTGGTTGGTCTTTTCTTTCCAGTTGGTGACACCAAATGTTTGCAGGTCTGTCTGAACATTATCTCTTTATCGTCTTTTTGGTCTGCCTCATGGTTTATGAACATTCATCTCCCTTGTGTAAATGAATGCATATGTGATCAAATAATTGTTAAAGACAAAATACAGCAAAGAATCTGTTTCTATGTTCAGCATTAAAAGTGCAGTTGGCACACTGTGTTGTGGTTTACAGCTAAACTGAGACATCTGCCGGTTTTTGGCCCACGACATCTAATTTCAGCAATCTCTCAGTCACCTTTTAGGACATGCTTGAGAGAACAGTAGGTCTGTTCTTTTTCTACCAAAATGGGGCATTAAACACATACAAGGACAGCAATGAAAGAAGGCATTCAATGAACATTAATTTATAAACCGCTATGGCAATAAATGCAGTCACGATATAACATAAAAAAAAGAAAGAATTCCTTTACAATAAAAAATATTAAATAATATCAGAAACATGAACTTGTTTAGCTTGCAGCTAATCATCATAAATAATGAGATACTCCTTATGAGTCCCATTAAATGCATATTGCGTTCTCTTATATTTCACACCTGGCCAGACAGAACACACTAAAGAAATATCTTTGACCACTTCTAATGTACACTTCATATACATCATTTACAATCATACACCATACACATAATTTACAATCATACACCATATGCATAATTTACAATCATACACAATAAACTCAATATACATAATTTACAATCATACACCATATACATCATTAACAATCATACACCATATACATCATTTACATCCAAACACTATGTACATAATTTACAATCATACACCATATGCATCATTTACAATCATACACCACGTAAATCATTTACATTCATACACCATGTACATCATTTACATCTATCCATTATGTTACGTTAGTTAGTTGTAGATCCTTTACAGGATATTGCAGAACCAACACCAGCATTTTATGACCTGTGTGGTTTTCTAGGCAAATTTATGTCCAGTAGTTTGCCACTGCTTTCTGGAAGGTCAACTTCTCGATACCACTGTCGAAATCAATGCAAGGCCTGCAGCTGGGATCAAAACTGGCACCCCTGCATTAAGAAGTATGTTCCCAACGCCTAAGCCACAGACCCCGACAACTATGTCCACTATGTACCGCATTTAATTCATACATAATTATATAATCTATTTTGTATACCTTCTCCATTCTATTTACATACCAAAGTTTGACTGTTTTTCTAAAGCATTTAATATGTGGCAAGGAGTTGCTGGTATAGTTGCATACTGGTTGACCAGATCATGAAAATGAAATATGACTTAGTATAGTAATAAATAAAAATGCAATGCGTTAATTACAATCCATCTAAAGCCTTTTAAAAGTCAATGAAACAGTTAACTAACATTTGACAATTTGTTCAATACTGTGATTTTCTGACAATAAACTCTCACTAATAGTTTCCAGTAGTTTCTAGCCAGTGAATATACTTTAAAAAAAAAATTTAATAGCTACATTTTGGCTAAAACAAACGAAAGTAGTGACCTGTTAATGAGACGCATAGTTAATTCTACTGACTGTGTTTGGGCCTATGCAAAAGTTAGTATTAGTATTTACTAATTACTAGGGCCCAGGCCGCGGAGCTAATGGAATGAACCTAAAAGCCGTGGGAAATAACATTTTGGGTGAAGGTGAATAGCCCATTTAACTGTGCCACATGCACTGGTACCTGGGGCCACAAACGTTTCTAGTCATGAACAAATCAGCCGACGAACACAATTTCGAAACAAAGTTTATCTCAATCCATGAACAATGTCTCTGTGCACGAACAAACAAACATAGCTTCAGCGGCAAGTTTTCAGCTCATGAAAAGCATCGTTTGTACTCAGGTTTGCGTGCTGTACACATTGTCATGCACAGTTCTTGATTCAATTCCCCTCCCTCCTCCCGATTTGCATTAAATTAACCCTCATTATTGTTCCCAAGAAAATTAAAACTGTTAGTGAAAGTTGCGTAAAGAAACCAAAGCGTATTAAGTAGAAATGAAGAAGGAAATAATAACTAAACATGAGAATAGTGTCTGTGTTTTTTATCTTGCCAATCAATAGATAGGATAGGGCTAAATCTACCTTCTGTAATATCTTAGTGACGTGCGAAAGACCGCTGATGTAGCTAAGGCAGTGACTATGTTAACGAAACAAAGGTTTCCAGTGTTAGGAGTCAAACAATTATTGTGTTTGGATGACCTTTCTCTAAAAATGAATTTGTGCTGTTATCACTGTCGTATTCTCTGTCATAAGAAAATCTACTACCTTGCAGTGCTGTTTTCTTCAATAATAAATAAACAATAACATTAGAAATATTAATATACAGTTTGGAGGGTTTAACCCGGAGGGATCAAAGGCTTGTTAATACTGGTTTTCAAAGATGGTGCACACAAAAAAGTATTAGTCAGTCAGCTGTGAAACAATAATAATATCCATACAAAATATGACACTAATGTCAGCTAGTAGGTATAATGTAAACAACCGATGAAATGATGATGCCGTTTTGATCAATGAAAATGATATGCAATTAAAAGGAATGGTAACAGAATGTTGAGAGGAAAATCTCAGACTGAACACTTTCACAATGAAAAATCAGAGTAAATGGGACCAGTATGAGGCAAGTCATTGGTTACAAATATTTGAACACTTTGACAACTATAGAAAAGTAATTTTTTTTTTTTACTTCTTCTGAAAATCCATGCCGTGCGGTGTTGGTAGTCATGTCTATCCGCAACCTTCTGTCTCATGTACTTTCAATCAACTCTGACACAGATGATCTTCCATAGTCCATGCCGTGTGGCGTTGGTATTCATGTCTATCCGCAACCTTCTGTCTCATGTACTTTCAATCAACTCTGACACAGATGATCTTCCATAGTCCATGCCGTGTGGCGTTGGTATTCATGTCTATCCGCAACCTTCTGTCTCATGTACTTTCAATCAACTCTGACACAGATGATCTTCCATAGTCCATGCCGTGTGGCGTTGGTAGTCATGTCTATCCGCAACCTTTTGCCTTGTGTACGTTCAATCAACTCTGACACAGATGATCTTCCATAGTCCATGCCGTGTGGCGTTGGTAGTCATGTCTATCCGCAATCTTCTGTCTTGTGTACTTTCAATCAACTCTGACACAGATGATCTTCCATAGTCCATGCCGTGTGGCGTTGGTAGTCATGTCTATCCGCAACCTTCTGTCTCATGTACTTTCAATCAACTCTGACACAGATGATCTTCCATAGTCCATGCCGTGCGGCGTTGGTAGTCATGTCTATCCGCAACCTTTTGCCTTGTGTACGTTCAATCAACTCTGACACAGATGATCTTCCATAGTCCATGCCGTGTGGTGTTGGTAGCCATGTCTATCCGCAATCTTCTGTCTTGTGTACTTTCAATCAACTCTGACACAGATGATCTTCCATAGTCCATGCCGTGTGGCGTTGGTAGTCATGTCTATCCGAAACCTTCTGTCTCGTGTACTGTTAATCAACTCTGACACAGATGATGTATTAAAGAAGTTAAATGTAGAAAAGTTCAAGAGAAGGAAACATTTAAAAACAAGAATATTCTGTGCTATATATGACGGGAAAGTAGGGCACTACATTATTTTTCTCAGCTACTAATAAAGACAGAAGCATGATATTTTGCATCTTCAAATATGGCATGTGCTGATTGTGTCTATTAAATTTCACTGCAACTGCCTAAATAATACGGCTGCATTAAAGTTAGTTGTGTATCCTTTACAGGACGTTGCAGAACCAACTCCAGCTTTGGCTGCTGTGGCTCTTCTAGGCAAAGCATTAGACCGTTTAAATGCAGAATGTTAGGAACTTGTATTATAAGCAGGTAATTGTTATCAAATTTCTCACTGCAGAGAAACTGTTGTAAACATTCACAAGCATCTATGTGATTTGTAAGGAAATTTTGCAGTCAACAGTCACTGGGTTCAGAGAATCAAATAATCAGGAAGTGGAAATAGAGAGCTGCTTTACTGACTGCAATTTGGATGTCCTGCCACAGCCACCAACACAAAAATTTTCAACTGCCAAGGGATTTTTTACGTGCGCAACAGTACATACATTCTGTGATTGTTCATAGAGGGTATTTGAATGAATGAAGAATGAATCAAAAATTGACAACATTGCATTTGGGAATTCTTATACATGCTCTTATTCTCTAGCCAGTGAAGAGTTTTCATACTGAATATGCCTGATATAGCATATAGCATGATTAACAGTTTGCCAGTCTTTTCCTCTACCTGTTAAAAACTACCCAAGTATCTCAGTTAAAACTTTTGTTTCAGATATGAATGGGCCGTCTGTTTTTCTTCAGTGGGTATGTTCCTCTTTAGACTTCAACAAAATATTCTAAGACTAAAACAGTAATGTTTTATAATATGAACAAAATGGGAAAACATCATTTTGATTTTAGTTAGTTAGTTGGGTTATCATCATTGCACTCCGGACATGTCCATAGGTGCTTAGATCCTCCCCTCAGTATTTAGTTTTTTGCTATTCTGATCTTAATGATATCAGCATGATCCATAGGCTGACCGTCGGTAGTGACAGCGGATCCAGCCAACCTATCATCTCTTTTGTTTTGATATTACAATATCACTATGGCCGAACCAGCCATGATTAACTATATGTGTTTTTTTCCTGCATATTAAGTCTGGGAGCTTGCAGACATAATCGTTTATACCATTACAGGTTCCAAATGCACATGAGCTTTTGGACCAATGAAAGACAAAGTAACAGGAACAAGGAAAACAGCATGAGCAACACCAAAGCCAATGACCAGAACCATGATCTTAAAGAATGACTGGAAAATGTAAGACTCCGAGAAAATAAGTATGAAGACTCCAATGAATGAGGACAAGCCGCCGTTGAAGATAGGACCAGAAGCGTGGATGATGGCGTCTTTTGCACGGTCCATACTTGAATGTTCGTCCGATATCATGTAGGCTGTACAGACGTGAGCACTGCAGATGAAAATGTTTCAAATAAATATTTGCGGTTTCTACAAGTGCTTTAACTTATCATATACACAAAATCTCAAAACACTCTAGCTGACAGAATCAAAAATTGGTGTGGGATAACACTCCCTTTTTCAGTATGCAGCCGCCCATTCTTCTCCCTACTTACAAGGGATGAAACAGTATTTTACAACACTGCCACTCTACTTTTGTTTTTCTTCTTCTTCTTCTTCACTTCCTCTTTTACCGCTGTGGGTGTCGAGGGAGATATAAGGTTCTGTTTCTGGCTCTTCTGGCCGCCTCGACAGTAGGCACATCGTGCTGTTGTAGAGCTTCTCTGATGTTATCCTTCCATCTTGTTCTTGGTCTACCTCTTGCTCTACGACCTTCTTCTCTTTCCATGTATGCTTTGTATGGTATGGTGTCACAAGGCATTCTCTCTAAGTGGGCAAACCATTTCACTACTTTTGTTCAAAGTCTTTAATTTCATCTGAGGCCACTACCATCCCCTGGATCGTTTTAGCATCTCTCAGGAAGCGGTACTCCACAAGGGAACAGCACTGACCTAATACTTCCTACTTATGAATTAATATGTATCAAGCAACTAAACACATATTCCATTTCTTACTCTGTATGTCAGTTGCTCTCAACCTTACTAATCTAGTGACCCCCAATCATTACATTGTTTTTGTTGCTGCTTCATAACTTCAGAGAATATGAGTTCTCCGACAGTCTCAGGCGACTCTTGTGAAAGGGTCGTTCGACCCCAAAGGGACCACGACCCACATGTTGAGAACCGCTGCTGAATGTAATAAAAATGTGTTTCGCTGAGTTAAGAATTAACATCACCGCACTCTAGATGTGCTTTAATGCTTCTTTCACCATCTTCTCGTCAGCAGGCAACAAAGAGTTCCAATGCCGATGGTATCAGCAGCATGTTGATTATAAGTCCATCTTGCCTTTCTTCTCAGCCAGAAGTTCCACTCTCAGCCAGAAGTTTCACTCTCAGCTAGAAGTTCCATTCTCAGCCAGAAGTTCCATTCTCAGCCAGAAGTTCCATTCTCAGCCAGAAGTTCCACTCTCAGCCAGAAGTTTCACTCTCAGCTAGAAGTTCCATTCTCAGCCAGAAGTTCCACTCTCAGCCAGTTCCACTCTCAGCCAGTTCCACTCTCAGCCAGAAGTTTCACTCTCAGCCAGTTCCATTCTCAGCCAGAAGTTCCATTCTCAGCCAGAAGTTCCATTCTCAGCCAGAAGTTCCATTCTCAGCCAGAAGTTCCATTCTCAGCCAGAAGTTCCATTCTTAGCCAGAAGTTCCACTCTCAGCCAGAAGTTTCACTCTCAGCTAGAAGTTCCATTCTCAGCCAGAAGTTCCACTCTCAGCCAGTTCCACTCTCAGCCAGTTCCACTCTCAGCCAGAAGTTTCACTCTCAGCCAGAAGTTCCATTCTCAGCCACAAGTTCCATTCTCAGCCAGAAGTTCCATTCTCAGCCAGAAGTTCCATTCTCAGCCAGAAGTTCCATTCTCAGCCAGAAGTTCCATTCTCAGCCAGAAGTTCCATTCTCAGCCAGAAGTTCCATTCTCAGCCAGAAGTTCCATTCTCAGCCAGAAGTTCCATTTATGAACATTAAATCTTACGACTTTAAAAAAAAAAGGTAGGGGAAAATCAGAGTTGGACAACCAAGTTAAAAGAAAAAGAAGATGGCAGTATACTCTGTATATTCTGTCATGAAAGGGGAAAAGAATCCCAAAACAGGCACATTGTAAAGTTGGATTTTATTAAGTTTATTCAGGTTGCAAAAAAAAATGTTACTACGAAAATGAGATAAACTGTTAATACACCGCCTCCTATCAACAAACATGAGGACTGCAAAAGAGGTCAGAGAGAGACGGATTGCACCAAATGTGCTGCTAACTCAATGAACCACTATAACTCAGGCACTTATACAAAATGCTACCACACATGATCCTGCACAAACCAAACCAGTGTTACACTTACAAATGGGACACACACTAACACAGTGGCTAGACCACCGCCTGCCAGCCTCAAGGTCTTGGCTTCAGATCTGCCAGAGAGCAGATTTTCCTATAATTGTTTTCAATACTCTGCCTAAGATTGGTATTAGGAAAGTAATGATGGTCACTTTAATGAATAAACACTGCTTGGTCTAGGAAAAATGGGTCTTACATCATAAAGCACAAGGCGTCAATGGTGGGGAAAATTGTCCTTTATCTTCCATTTAAGAACAAGTTCTTTGTTTTTTTTTAATTCTAATTTTAAAAATTTAAACAAACAATAGTTCTAGAAAATGTCATTGAAAGTAAGGATGGCTGCATCACAGAGTAAGTGCTGCTTGGTCTTAAATAAACTTATGGGTCTCACACAATGTGCACTTTACCTTCCATTCAAGAACTAGTTTTTTTATTCTAATAAGAAAATAGCAATGGAGACTATTTGACAGAAATTAAAAAGAGGATGGCCATAGCAAAGTAAAGATTAAACAGTCTTAAAAGTCTTTGGTTAAGCACCAGCAAGAAGATTAAAATAGGAATTTTGAGAGCATGCATCTTCCCTGTAGCAACATACGGATGTGAGTCGAGGAATATCTCCCAGTCCTTAAGAAACAGAATAGGGGTTTTTGAGCTGAAATGCTATAGAAAGATTCTCAGAATACCTTGGACAAAGAAGAGGAGAAATACTGACATCGTAAAAGATCTGAACATCAAGGAAGATTGGCTAATAAACAGCATCCTGTCTCAGAAGCTGAAATATTTTGGTCATATCAAGCGCCACGACGGATTGGAAAAAACTATAGCAGAAGGCATGGTACCAGAAAGGAAGGACAGGGGCTGACCGACACGAAGATGGGCACAGGATATAAGTGACTCCTTGAGTATGAAAGTACATAAGGCGGGAGAGCTGGCGGGAGAGCTGGCGAGAGACCAAGTTTTTTTCAGGCAGACCGTGATAAGAGCGTTGTTCTGCAAAGGACCTGCTACACAAGGATAATGATGAATAAGAAAATGAAAACTATCAATAAATATTGGGGAGCCTTGGAAGCATAGTGACTAGATGCTCACTTTTGAGCCTCAGGTCTTAGGTTCAAATCTACATCAAGTCGGATGCTTTAAATATTACCTTGGCTCCCAAGTCAATACAGTCTACAATGGGTAGAAGGAACAGTTCTGGGAGGTAAAGGTCGATGTTATGACAATGACAACATCATCCACCTATCAAGTCATGATAGGTTTATAAAAACGTAGAGAAAATCTATGGCCTTGCATTATATACCGTGGGAGCCAATGGCCTGATAAGGGTCCTTTACTTTAACACACTCACACACAAATTTGATAACTTTACCAGTAAATATATAATGCATAGGTTAAGTTCAGTTGAGTTGAGTCTAGAGTTGACAATCATAACACTCAGGGAATTCCCATGTGTACTCCGTCCTCATCTTCAGCAGCCAGCACAGAGTTCCAATACTGATGGTACCGGTCACAATCTGATTATGTGTCCCTCTTGCCTTTCCTTTGAGTGTAGTGAGCCGGCCAGACCCTCTGGTTACAGCCAGGTACCTCATTCTCTCCAGGCCATAACAATCTTGTTTCTCTACTGATTTCCGTTGCTTGTTCCTAAAGGGCCTTGACCACATCTGCTTTGTCATGTATCAATTCACCACCCAGTGGTGCAGATCAAGCCAATCTGTCTGCCTGTTCATTACCCACTATGCTGGCATAGCCTGGAGAAAAGAGCCAAAGTATGCTCACTACTTGTGACCTACCCAGTGAAGCTTGCCATGCAACATTTAAACATTAAAATCAACATAGCTGCCTTACCAGAAATCCACAGAGAATCCAACACTCATGATAAGCTCAATCATGGTTATGGAACTCAGTGTCAGGTCCCAGTGAGCCATAAAGCCAAATATTCCCAGCACAATCATGAACATCTGGACCGTCACAAGGATGACCATTAGAGGATGTGGCAGGAAAATGGCTGTTACAACAAACATGACTGAAAGAGCAAAACATTAAGATTCAAAGTCCAAAGAATCAGCTTCACTGCACAGGGTTATTCTAAACATCTTGGTCACTCTCCACAGAACAGCCAGATTCAGTCGAGAGTGTCACATAAAGCACACAGCTGCAGCAACCATCCCCCGTCGATCTCTTTTAAACAGTGCACTCATTAACTGAACAACATATTCTTAAAACGAAACTACCACCTTTAGAATGTGTGGCAAACAGCCAGAGCACTTCACCTTAGAGCAAAAATAACACTGAGAAATCAAATAAGTAATGTTCAGGCTATATATATATTTATATATAGTAATCCTCAATAGAATTTAATGTCAAAGAAAGTTAAGATACATTTGGCACACTATGAGACAAAAAAGAGCAAAGAATTACGAAACAGGCACTGAAATGGGAATTAAAGAGTCTGAGAGAAAAAGAGGACGTCTAAGGGAAACATTAGGAAGAGCTTTATTTAGAGATTCAACAAACGCTGGGATGAACTCCATGTCAGAAACTGAGAACGTTGCATGCAATAGAGTGGAGTGAAGGAATTGAATGCGAGACCTATGTGACATCTAATGGCACACAAAGGATAGTGATATACCATCTACATTCTAGTTCGTCTATAACATCTGCATTTTTACATTAAATATATCATCTAATTTCTACATCAAATATATCATCCACATCCTACAGCAAGCACAGCGTCTATATTCTAAACCATGCACATCATCTACATACTACTTTATCTATATTATCATCATCAGGTGCCTTGCCGACTGGCTTGAGCGATCATGCCTCTCCAGTCTGCAATCTCCTGCAGCATGTATCAGTTTGTGTGCTGACTCACTTCCATGCCATGCAACAAGACTGTCAAGAATCTTCTCTTGTTGTCTTCCGCTAACCCAGATCTTTCCCTACACATATATCATATACATTTTAAATCATTTCAGTGTGTGTGTATGTGTGTGTGTGTGGGTGAGTGGGTGTGTGTATGGGTGTGTGTTCTACATCATGTACACACACATATTTATAACACATACATTCTTATTCTTCTTTACATTCCCCGGCTGTCAAATATGGCGAAAAGTCCTGCTTATTCATTCACATCTGGACCTCAGACTGATGAGGACCTCAGTGCTGCTGCATATCTGTTTTACAGATCTGACTTACTTGTGTGCAGTCAGTCAGTTCCTTGCCTCTCAGAGACAGCAGCTCTGACTTTGAAGGAAACATCAACCCTATCCACCAGGGCCATGCTCCGCCTGGCTGGAAATCTGTTTCCTGGATGACTGCGGAGAGATGTAGAAGATAGGTTTTGACCATTTTCAACCCTGGCCATGTTGAACTACCACATGTGGTTCAGCAGCTCTGCATCCCCCCCCCCCCCCAACCACTCACACACACACCCACACACATACATAGAAAACTCAACCCTCTGTACCTGTGATGAGAACATCTACACCTGTCTCATCAAAACCATCAACATCTCGTAATACTGAATGTCACTGGGTCGCCAGTTTGCTGCTAACTGTATGATGAGCTCCTTCCACCTCTGACGGCCAGTGGTCAGATAAAATGGACTTTATGGTTGCATGCCTAAGGCCTGATCAGTCAGTCAAGTTCTGTACCCAGGTCTTTCTTGGTCTGTTTTTTCTCCTCTATCCCTCTCTTGAGCCATGTAGTACTGTTTTTGAGAGGCCGTTAGATCTTATTTAATGTCTGTACCATTGCATTTTCCAACTTTTCACAGTAGTTACAAAGAATTCATAGTTGCCTATTGTACGGTGAACCTTTTCATTTATGAATTGTTAGGAAGATCTCATTTCCAATGCTTGTATCTTCTTTTCTGTGTTCAGTGGTTGTTAAGGCCCACATTTCACACCCTTATGTAAGTAAAGTAAACATAAAGGACCCTTTTTCCACGCCTTTAGGCGTATAGGGCATACAGGGCTAGACCTATATTTTTATAGACCAATCGGCACAAGATGGGTGATCTGGTTAGCATCACGCCCGCCGCCTTTACTTCCCGGGACTACAGCCTTATGTAAACATACTAATAGCCAGTGCTCATACCACCTGTCAAACTGTCAAACATATCACACAAAATATTTATGCCATATGAACATGACATTCTAACAAGCTTAGAACTAAAGATCTTACCTGCAATGGTGACGCCCACTGTCTGAAGTGTGTCGGGTAGAATGGTGACAAACTGCTCAAACAGAACGAAAACAGGATGGTATGCAAATACTGCAGCTGGCGAGGCATCAGCAACTTGGCGCATGCGTGTCATTAGATTGGCTTGATCGGTGGAGTCTGCAAGCTGTCAGTAAAAATTAATAAAAGTTACATTTCTGGGAAATTAATAAAAATTAATTTCCAACTGCTATTTAACTTTATTATTTATTGAAAGCTCTTGAAGCAGAATAGCAAGTGCACATGATGATATGATTTTTAATTTTTTTTTATATCCAGAAACCATGAGTTGTTAACCCTTTGGCTTGGTACTTTGGATATCACAACCCTTCGGCCTTGATTCCATGGTAGATACCGTAAATCTGGGAGAAATGTGGCTGTTCTGCCTACCCCCAGGGGGGAAACCCAGAACACAAGGAGTTCGTCACCCGGTCACCGCGACTTATTTTAAAGTGCACATGATTTGTGAATTTCATTAATTCTGTGCATTTCATTAATTAATTTTAACAATTACACATGATCTATGTCACTATCTTAAGTAATTGTACATACCCTGTAAGAATACACATGGCATCGTGAGGCAGTGATTGTCTTATTTGGCCCAAATACAACATCACTTTCAAAGAACGGATTTCGTCTGAGGAACTGTTCTAGACCAGAGTAAAATGCAGCCGGGCTGCTGTTGTAGTACAGCTTTGAACCAGCCAGGCTCAGGAACCAGCAGATTCTACTATCAGGCATGATCAATGGATCCTCTTCAGCTTTTTCTAATAATTGTTTCATTTCCTGTTAAAAGTGTTTGGGAAAAAGAGATTTAGTTTTTAAATACACATCATATAATTTATTAATAGTGCAGAAACTAAAATATTTATTAATTGGTGCCACTGCAGAACAGACAGAATTAATAAGGGGTGTGACATCCCTGTGTCAGTCATTTGTCAACAGTTGCCTATAGCTCTTGAGCTATCCGTTGACTATCACTCCCCTGCCTATACTGCCTATATCACTCCCCTACCTATACATCATCTGCAAATGTCAGTATCCTTCCAACACCTGGTACTTCAAGTTCTGCAATCTTGCTTGTATACATATTTATGAGCACTGGTTAAGTTGCAGAACTCTAGGGTAGTCCTGGGGCGATATTATATAGTTCTGAGGTAAGTTCTGCGGCCTCTTTTGGGATGAAACAAAAAAAAAACAGACCCAATGTCCCCGAAACAGGTATGTCGTAAAAGGCGACTAATTAAGGGTTTGTTGAAACTGAATGTGGTGGGCCACAAGGCACAGATATCACAGCCTAGCTTAAACCATAACATAATGAGTAGGTTATCATATCTCAACCTCAACAAAAGTTTCGAATAATAATGAATATGAACATTTAAAAGCTAAAAGTAACAACATAATTCAACATACAACAGCTTAAAGCTGCAGTTCCCAACCAGTGCTTGGCACAGCCTTACGGGCTCCACATAACACTTCACAGGGGCTCCTCAACCACTTTAGAAAATATGGCCAAGTGTTCACAATGAGGAAAAAATTTACTATTATGGTACATTTCATAGCAATTGTTTAGACACTCTTTCTTTTAAATTCTTTTACTATCTGCCAAACTCTTCCTTCACTCATTAACATTCAATTTACATGCCATTATCATGTATGACACAAAGTATGGTAAGCCTGAAGGGTTCTGCCAGGGAAATTGATTATAAACAGAGCTCTCCAAGTCAAATAGGTTGGAAACCACTGGCTCAAAGTATCAACATATCTCAACATACAAAACCTTAAAATATCAAGCTACTTCAGCATACAATAGCTTAAATTATTAAGTCATCTCAACAAACAACAGCTCAAAGTATCAACTTAGCTCAACAAACAACAGCTCAAAGTATCAACTTAGCTCAACAAACAATATCTTAAAGTAGTAACTTAGTTCAAAAAACAATATCTTAAAATATTAACTTAGCTCAACATACAACATCTTAAAGTATCAACTGATCTCAACAAACAACAGCTTAAAGTATCAACTTAGCTCAACATACAACATCTTAAAGTATCAACTGATCTCAACAAACAACAGCTTAAAGTATCAACTTAGCTCAACATACAACATCTTAAAGTATCAACTTAGCTCAACATACACCAGCTTAAAGTATCAACTTAGCTCAACATACACCAGCTTAAAGTATCAACTTAGCTCAACATACAACATCTTAAAGTATCAACTTAGCTCAACAAACAATATCTTCAAGTATCAACTTAGCTCAATATTCAGTATCTTTAAGTATCAACTTAGCTCAACATACAACCTCTTAAAGTATCAACTTAGCTCAACATACATCATCTTAAAGTATCAACTTAGCTCAACATACAACAGTTTAAAGTATCAACTTATCACAACACACAACACTTAAAAGAATCAACTTTGTTAAACACATAACAGCTTAAAGTATAAACTTAGTTCAAAATACAAAAGCTTAAAGTAATAACATATCTCAATGTACAACATTTTAAAGAATCAACCTAGCTTATCATTCAACACCTGAAAGTACCAACTTAAGCTCAACATAACATATCCCAACACACAACAGTGTAAAGTATCTTTATGATAACATAAATACCTGTAGTGTCTGAAAATCTGTGTAGTCTTTTGTTTCAGTTGTTATAAAACTCACAATTAGCTTGGAACCAAAGTCTTCATCATCCCAGGACTGCATATAGGGATTGACAAAATTTCATGAGGATTCTTACAATACAGTCAGTTTATCAATTTTCTTCTGTTTTCTTTGTTCACTTAAAACGGAGGTATGTTTTGTGCATTAATCACCAGGTTACCCATTTACTCGCCGGTCGACGACTTCATCACCAGTCGGGACAGTATTTGGATCTGTCTCCTATGATTGCATCAAAACTGCAGGAGTCCTTTTCAGGGCTTCTGATGGCGCCATTTTATATGGTGCACATAACCCAATCACAATTATAATCTGAAGCTTCCCCTGCAGGAATGCTGGCTGAACGTGACAATTTTGTTTTCTTCTCAAAACCAGGAGGAGGAAGACATACTGTGCTCCAGTTTACAAATCAGCTGCAATATCTGCATCTAAAGTTTAAAGTTTTGAAGTTTGAACAACGGATCAACATCACGACACACGGGTAGTAACCTAGAAGTGCTTCGTTCTTCTTCTAACTCACGTCTGAGTCCGAAGAAGCTCAAAAAAGTACACATGCTCTGTAGCACTGGAGAGCATAATGAAATACTTTGGGTAGATTTTTTACTTCAAATTTTGCCCTGCGCAGCGCCGTTAGTCTACTCTTTTAAATTTCCAACTGCCAAGGGATTTTTTACGTGCCAACAAGGCACATAGGCGTCTGATCTCACTACCCAGAGACCAGGGGGAATTATTAGAAGTCCAAGTTTACGTGAAAAATTCCCAGCCCTTACCAGGGATTGAACCTAGAACCTCTAGCACTCAAAGCAGACACCACGCCTTGAGACCACACAGCCCAGATATTTGCATCTTTCAGTCCAAAACATTAGACTTCAGCAAAGTCTTCAATGGTTGCCTTTACTGACATGCATGTTAAGGACAGTGTTTATTTTCCAGAATTTGATTTTTGCTTACACATTCAATTCACAGATCTGGTTTATCTGTGCAGACTGCTGGTTCCTCGCATCTCTGAAAGAGGCACTCCAACTCTGAATGAAACACCCCTAATTAGTTTGCCTTGTATAACATGTTAGGAAGACTGTCGGTCAATTTTTTTTGTCATACACCCAAAAAGATACCCCGGAACACACATGGGGACCAAACTACCAGACTACACATGGGGAACTGATGATTCACACCCAAGACTTTTCCGTTGGCAAGCAGGCACCTAACCACTGTGCTACCATGATGTACCCAGCAAAATTTTATCCAGCATAAATTCATTCAGCTTCAAAATGCTAACAGGTAATATGCAATTACACAAATATTGAGAAGCTTCTTAATGCCAGTTTTGTTATGTCCTGCTAAACATTTGTATCAATTTGATTACACACCCATCCATAATCCTATTACGGAACTGTAAACGTCAAGTGTCTTGGAGGTTGCGAAAGCAGTTTCATAATCTTAGCAGAAACAACCCCAGCACTGTTTGGTTATTTCATTTTACTGGGAAACTTTATGTTGTAGCTCTTTTTCTTCGTGTTCACTAAGTCTACACTCTGGAGGAAAGTAAGATTTTTATCCACTTCTGTGTCATTATCAGAAATCACAACACTAAATCAAAGGAAAATAGAAGGAGTTGTGGAGAGAACAAACTAACAGTAAACATTCACAGGACCTGATCAGATGACTCAACAGAAAACAACATACAATATTTTTCTGTCTATCAACAGGACACTGCAGGCTCAACTACCACATGCGTAAAATAAAGACTGTACAGTCCCCACAGTGTGCCTGTCAAACAGGACCACAAACACCTCAGCACATTCTGCAGACCTGCCCACTCTACCTGTAATTTCGAAAAGACACCTGGCCTCAAGAGCAAAATGTGCAGAGCAAGCTATGGGGAACCATGAAGGACCTGCTACTGACTTGTCAGTTCATAGATCAACCCACCTGATGGTCTGATCTGAGCATTCGAAACCCAGCGCAAAGAAGAATCCACTTCTGGTCTTCAGTCTTGTTTCAGAACCTGTTTTGTGTGCAAACATGCTTTACAGATCTGGCTTATTTGTATGCAGACTGTCAGTTCCTCGCTTCTCAGGCAGATGAACTCTGACTTTGAAGGAAACATATCAAATTAGTCAACTGTTATGGTATGCTTGTCAGGGGGCAGTGGGGCTATTCTTTTTGTTCCCCACTATTGGGCCCCAAAACATACTGGGGACATTTTATGTTCCGTAGTCTGCCACTGTTTCTTTAATGGCTGGCACTCATACCATTGTCAAAATCAGTGCAAAGAGGTCTGCTGTCAAATCAGCTGTAGCAGGAATCAAACTGGTTGTTCTGGAATTACAAAAGCAGGTTCACAACCTCTAAGCCAAGGACAATTTGCATTTTTCTGCTGAAATACTGAAGCTTCTTCTTCTGAACTCTTTCAGTATCAAGGAACTCATCACACACTGACATACATACGTACTTACACACACACGCACGCACCCAGCCAATGTAAAGCCCATTTAGGAGTAGGAGTCTCTGTCACATATAAACATTGATACTCTCTTATTCTGAGGCTGGCTTTCTCTCAGACGTCTATATTTATATACATTTATACGAAAGTTTGAGCCACGTAGCACTGGTCATCATAGCTCTCCACAGCTTTCTATCACATGCATTGTCAATCAATAATTATGTAGATGTTCCTCCGTGCCTGATGCCAAACATTTTCTCATGACACTACCAAATTGAGCTGTTTTATTCTCATGACTCTATTATGCTTTTTTCTTTGTGGTCACCAGCTGTAAAACTCTGGCGGAAAGTTTTGGTTGTTCATCCACTTCTGGACTGCAGTCCTGTTCCAAAACCTGAGTGTTGCGTGTGCATCCATTTTACAGATCTGACTCATCTGTGTGCAGACTGCTGGCTCCTTGCATCTCAGGCAGATGCACTCCGACTTCGAAGGAAGCTCCCAATTAGTCGACTCTTACGACATGCTTTTGGGTAGGCAGTGGTTCTATTCTTGTTTTCCCTATAATAGGGCCCCGGAATCCAGACGGGGAACTCTATTATTAAAACAAAACCACACACACACAAAAACACACAAACAGCTACCTGAAATCTGTGGAAGCAGAAAGACCTAAATACCAGATTCTTCCTTTCAAAATTTAACCACAAGACTATCTAACCGTCCCATTGTCATGACAGTATTACAAATATATATATATATATATATATATTTTTTTTTTCAGAATACCAGAAATGTGTGGAAGTAGGATGACCTAGGTACCTGATTCTTCATTTCCAAATTTCATGACAAGACAAAATATAATTTTCCAATTCTCATGACTTTTATTTCAAAAAAATACCTGAAATTTGTGGAAATAGGATGACCTAGGTGCCAGATTCTTCAGATCCAACCCTTGTTGTAACTTGGTACACCCCCAGATGGCCACTCCAAGGTATCCAGCAAACACCAGCAGGGTGAGGTATCGCACTGGATTCCACATTAAAAATCTGTGCATGAAAGCAATCACAAAAGACATGAAATATTTCCTTTTATGTGTTTTTGCAAAACTCTTCATGGCAGAGTGGTCAATATTCAAAATGTGCACCCATGTGATGTACCCAGGTGATCCATTCTTTTCATCGGAGAAGGCTCAACCATGGCCTTAATAAACATCTAAACCTACAACAGGTGGCAACGAACCACCAGACATGGAGAGCTATGTATCTGACCTATCTGCTGCCCTAGGCTTAGGAGGAACGACTAACTCACTCACTCTAATTTAAAAACAATTAGTCCAATCAAAACCAAGAAACACACACATGCAGTAAATGCTTGAGACTAATGCCACAATCACTCACCACTAGTATTGTAATTTATCGTTAAGTTGTCAGTTACGATGAGCTGGCCATACAACATACACAATTATTGTGATGCACATCGCAGGACACTGCTCCAGTAATTCAAGATGCATAATGTCTACTATGTACAAAATTATCCTTACATCCTTTTTAGGACGTAATTTTTTTTTATTTGAAGCCCCACTCTGGCTTTTGCCAGGGGCCGCAATATAGGCAGGCCATAAATATGGCCAATTGTCTGAACGCGGTTTCTGGGACCTCTCCACGGCGATGCTCATCCACATGGTGGCACTTTGTGTCATCGGGTGTTTATCGCTTGTGTGATGTCTTAGTGGGGTAGAAAGTCAGTCAGTCTATGTAAAAAAAAAAAATGACTGGGTATAGAAACAGGAGATAAAAAAGACAAACAAAAAAAAAACCAGTATAAGATAGATGTAGCTAATGTATACCAAAAAATTTAAATTTCTTTTTTCTTTTTTTCCCCAAAATGGTGCCCCAGAACCCACAAGGGAAAGATGGGTGTCAATTCTCATCCTCATTGTTGTTCCTTTCCAAACTATTGCTATTCCTCAGTACATCCATCTCAGACTACCCAGCAACATGTCTCTCATTTTGTCACTTGTGCTGGTCATCTCTTGAGCTTTACTTTTTATAACGCTTATATTCTCATAACATGCCCCAATGTAATGCAATCTTCTTCTTTGCATTCACCAGCTGTAAACTCTTGTGGAAAGTTCTGGTTGTTCATCCACTTCTGGACTGCAGTCCTGTTCCAGAATTTGAGTGTTTTGTGTGCATCCTTTTGACAGATCTGACACATTTTTGTGCAGACTGTTGGTTCCTTGCCTTTCAGGCAGATGCACTCCGACTTCAAAGGAAGCTCCCAATTAGTCGACTCTTACAACATGCTTCTGGGTAGGCAGTGGGTCTATTCTTGTTTTCCCTATAATAGGGCCCCGGAACCCATACGGGGTGTAATGTAATGTTTCAGCTTCATAGCAAATGGGTCACCCCATAGTTGCTCCCCTCTTGAGCCAACAAAAAAACAGAGAATATTCATCACATTCTCTGTGTATAACACTGTACTTTCTATAACTGTTACTGCCTAAGCTACCAAGTTAAGTGCTTTGTGCAACAGTTTGAGTTGTGTATTTCATGTGAATTGCCTTTCTTTTGTTTGTTCAAGCAGCAAGTGTGACATGATATTCAGAAAATGGTGGATAGCCAGTTTGCATTTGGGCTGGCGAAATAGCTTACACAATAATTTTGTATGTGGTATGGCCAGCTCATCATAACTGACAACTTAACGATAAATTACAATAGTAGTGGTGAGTGATGGTGGCATTAGTCTGAAGCATTTACTGCATGTGTGTGTTTCTGGGTTTTGATTGGACTAATTGTTTTTAAATTAGAGTGAGTTAGTTAGTTGTTCCTCCTGAGCCTAGGGCAGCGCATAAGTCAGATATATAGCTCTCCATGTCTGGTGGTTCGTTGCCACCTGTTGTAGGTTTAGATGTTTATTAGGCCCATGGTTGAGCCTTCACTGATGAAAGAAATGGATCACCTGTGGGGGAATCCCATCTGCAGTGAGGAAACCCCAACTATAACTTTATTTAACCTTTATCAAGTAAACGTTTGCTATTTTACTCTAGCAGTCCAGAGTGTACCAAAAGACAGCTTTTGAAAGCTAAATCTCTGCTTCCTCTAAGGTCTTCTTAATTTATTCGTTCACACTCCAAGATTCATTGGGCCAGGTGTGACAAATGCTGCAGCGCTACAGAGTACTCTCTTGCCAGCCTCTCAGGACCTTGACATTATTACTGAACCACCAAGCAAACAAGAAATCCTTAAAGCTATCCACACTTTAAAGAACAAAGCACCAGGCAAAGACGAACTGCCAGCAGAACTTCTCAAAGTAGATCCCGATATAACTACTAGCATTCTAGAACCACAGCCGGCGTAATGCTGACCACATTACCCACAGAGTGCTGATGGTCTGTAAAAATATGGGACGCTCTGCCCATATGCCTGATGCGCCAAAAGGCGTGAAAAGGGATCTTTACTTTTTTTTTTTTTATTCTACAACCATTATTCAAGGATATTTGGGAAAAAAGAAGTGTTGCCTGATGACTGGACTGAAGGAACCAACAACATAGTACACATTCCCATATGTGTTCCTTCCTCATCTTCAGCAGCCAGCAAAGAGTTCCAATACTGATGGTATCAGTAGAAGTTTGATTTTATGTGCATCTTAACCTTTCCTCTTAGTGACCAGGGAATGTGGCCGACAGTCTACGCTGATAACAAAGGTAAGATGGACAAGTGATCAAACTGTTACTGGATTACAGCTGTGATGGGATATTTGTGCTTTCTGTGTAACGCATCAGTTACAAACAACCTCTAATTCTTCTTCTTCTGCCTTTCTAGCCCTCAACTGAGCATAGGCCCTCAACTGAGCATAGGCCCTCAACCAACTCACACCAAGTTATTCTACCCTTTGCCATCGCAAGCAGCTCTCTTATCTCCTCCCCACCTTTTAAACTTCACTTTTTAGCTCCCTTCTCCATGTGTTTTTTTTGAGTCATCCTTTATTTCTGTGCCCCTGTGGATTCCACAGCAAAGACATTCCACACGGTTCTCAGATGTGAAGTTTACAGTCGGTGTACGTGATGAAGAACTCAGGAGGACAAAGTATATACGATTACCAACATTACCAACCTGACTAGTGTTTTTCTCGGTCCTTGCTCACACACGCTCTGGTCACCATCGGAGGTATTTGGTATTTCACCACCACACAGGTAAACTGTGCAGCAGGAGGCCCCCTTTTCTTTTAGCTGTCTCCGTGACTTCTTAACCTTTCGACAGGTGAGGATGTGTCTGCTGGCATACACACGCCGCGCGTGGAGCGTCAGGCAGGAGCCAAACATACAAGCATTACAGATGTAGCACATGAGAACACCAACACCTGATGGGGGGAGGGAAGAAAGTTATAAGCTGTCTCTAGCAGATACTTTCATTTGAGTATAAAGATCAGGTGACTTAACATACTGGAGTACCTTCACATCTCTGGAAGAAGTTGTGAAGTTGGGAACTTCTTTACTTCCTCTTGTAACACTTCATATGTTGAGGGAGATAAGCTTCTGCTTCTTGCTATTCTAGCTGCCTCAACTATTGACGCATCCTGCTGTTGTAGAGTTTTCATGATGTTATCTTTTGATCTTGTTCTTGGTCTGTCTCATGCTCTAGGTCCTTCCCTTTGATGGGGTATTCCACATTTTGAGGTGTGAAGCTGGGGTACTTTTACACACTTTTTTGCAGGCTGGGGTGTTTTTGAGGTTACTTTGGTAAAACTAAAGTTAGTCCCCCCATTTACACAGTGTTACATACTAGCTCATTCTGACCGGTCGACCTTTAGCTTACCTCACTTCTGATTGGTCGACCTTGAGCGATATTACCTTGTCACAAGGTTACGAGGAATTTCCCGCAATGTCATTGGTATCGTGTGTTGTATATTTCAGCACGCCAGCGCTTCTAACACTTTAAAAACATCAACAAACTGGGTCTAACACAAAACACTTTTGGAGAGTGATGAAACTTATGTCACAGGCATACTATTTCTCATAAAAACGTAAATGAAACAACCTAGAGAGCAAACAACAGAGCGGCACACCCGTAACCTGCAGGAAGGTAGACCAGCCCAAAAAACTTATGAATGGAACGTGACTCACTTTGTTCGGGGAGACTAAAGTTTGTATAACGGTATCTTTATATACTGTAGTGTGAAGTTGGGTTGCTTTCATATAACCTTGGCTTCCTGAGCGTGAACTGTTAAGCCTTCATATATTTTAGGCCAATCTTATAGCAGACTCTGCTCAATGTGTGTAAAGTTTTTCTCTATGCTTTATTATATGAGGATGGCTTGCCATTTCCCTTTCTTGTTGCCTTTACTTCTCAGAAAATTTCAAGAATATTCTAAAAACTGTCTACCTATTATTTATGTGTTTTTTGTGTGTGTTTTTGTTGGGGGGGGGGGGGGTGGTGGGGGGGGGGGGTCAGGCTGGATCTATTCCAAAGCCAAAGTGATTTAAGAAAAATAAAGAGAATAAAGAAAAAAAAACTGCAGGACTGAACCTGGACGACTGCTTGGCAGGTAAGTGCATTAAGTTACTTTTTGTGTGTGTTTTCCTTATTGACATCCTAGCACAGCACATCAGTCTGATCCAGTCATGCTCAATGCAGCAGCCATCTCACTGTCTCCATGGTCCCCATACCCAGTAGGGATTGACTGGCATCATCATCAGTCGGTCGGCCCTTTACAGAACCTCCCTCTCTTCACGGCACACTTTAAAGTCACTCTTTGTCTAGCCCAGTGTTTCCCAAACTTCTCTTTCTTAGTGGCGGCGCCTTCTTTCAATAAAATATTTTCAACAGCTCTCTAACCTAAGTAAAAGTGTGACTATTCGTATCTAAGGGATTTTCTTTATTTTAAATTTTGTTTCGTTTAATATTTTGCGGTCCCTCTGTGAAGAGGTCACGGCTCTCCGGGGCACCGCGTCTTACAGTTTGGGAATCACTGTCTAGCCTATTTTCCAGCCCTATCAATGTCTTGTATCCACTTTTGTGAAGGTCGGCCTCTGCAAACTTTTCTGGAAATTGCACCCTTCAGCACTGTTCTCTCCAGACCACTATGATGTTTAACATGGCCAAAATACTTCAGCTTTCGGGACAGGGTGCTGTTTATGAGCCAATTCTCTTCAATTTTCAGATCCTGTAGGATGTCGATGGTTTTCTTTTTCTTGTTCCATGGTTATTCTAAGTATTTTTCTGTAGCATTTCAGTTCAACTAGACGCTTGTGTGCGGATCAGAAGGTCGTGGGTCTGCTCCCTGGTGGAGCCGGACTTTTTTCAAAAAATTACCTTCACTCCCAGGTTGACCTAGCCTTGAGAGGGTACCGCTGCAGTCCCGAGAAGTAAAGGTGGTCGGCGTGATATGGACCACATCATCCATCTTGTGCTGATTGGTCTTTAAAAATATAGGTCTAGCCCTATAACCATAAAGGAGTGGAAAAGGGTCCTTTACTTTACTTATTTCAGTTCAAAAGCTCTGATTTTTTTCTTCACTGATTGAGTGTTCAGGATTCACATCCATGTCTGACTGGCATATAACTGCATTAACTGCTATCTAACTCTAGCATGGGATGCAGCTAGTAGGTTAATTCTTGTAACAGAAAGTTTTATGATAACTCTAATTTAGTGATTCTGATTACAGTGATTGTGATAACAGATTAATTATAGTGATAGTCAATCAGTGATTGTGATAGTGATTGCAATAGTCAATCAGTGATTGTGATAGTGATTGTGATAGTCAATCAGTGATTGTGATAGTCAATCAGTGATTGTGATGGTCAATCAGTGATTGTAATAGTCAATCAGTGACTGTGATAGTAAAATAATGATTGTGATAGTGAATTAGTGATTGTGATAGTGAAATAATGATTGTGATAGTGAATTAGTGATTGTGATAGTGAATTAGTAATTGTGATAGTTAATTAGTGATTGTGATAGTAAAATAATGATTGTGATAGTGAATTAGTGATTGTGATAGTGAATTAGTAATTGTGATAGTCAATCAGTGACTATGATAGTGAATTAATGATTGTGATAGTTGATTAGTGATTATGATAGTCAATCAGTGATAGTGAATTAATTATTGTGATAGTGAATTAGTGATTGTGATAGTGAATTAGTAATTGTGATAGTTAATTAGTGATTGTGATAGTCAATCAGTGATTGTGATAGTGAATTAGTGATTGTGATAGTGGATTAGTGATTGTGATAGTGAATTAGTGATTGTGATAGTGGATTAGTGATTGTGATAGTAAATTAGTGATTGTGATAGTGAATTAGTGATTGTGATAGTCAATCAGTGATTATGATAGTGAATTAGTGATTGTGATAGTGAATTAGTGACTGTGATAGTAAATTACAGTGACTGCGATAGTGAATTAGTGATTTTGATAGTGAATTAGTAATTGTGATAGTCAATCAGTGACTATGATAGTGAATTAGTGATTGTGATAGTGAATCAGTGATTGTGATAGTGAATCAGTAATTGTGATAGTGAATTAATTATTGTGATAGTGAATTAGTGATTGTGATTGTGAATTAGTAATTGTGATAGTTAATTAGTGATTGTGATAGTGAATTAGTAATTGTGATAGTGAATTAGTGATTGTGATAGTCAATCAGTTGTCATTGATTGTGATTGTGAATTAGTGATTGTGATAGTGAATTAGTTATTGTGATAGTGGATTAGTGATTGTGAATTATTGATTGTGAATTAGTGATTGTGATAGTGAATTAGTGATTGTGATAGTCAATCAGTGACTATGATAGTAAATTAGTGATTGTGGTAGTGAATTAGTGACTGTGATAGTAAATTACAGTGATTGTGATAGTGAATTAGTGATTTTGATAGTGAATTGGTGATTGTGATAGTGAATTAGTGATTGTGATAGTCAATCAGTGATTGTGATAGTGAATTAGTGATTGTGATAGTGAATTAGTGACTTTGATAGTAAATTACAGTGATTGTGATAGTGAATTAGTGATTGTGATAGTGAATTAGTGATTGTGATAGTCAATCAGTGATTCTGATTGTGAATTAGTGATTGTGATAGTCAATTAGTGACTGTGATAGTCAATCAGTGATTGTGATAGTGGATTAGTGATTGTGATAGTCAATCAGTGATTGTGATAGTGAATTAGTGATTGTGATGGTGCATTAGTGACTGTGACAGTAAATTACAGTGACTACAATAGTAAATTCCACTCTCTGTGATAGTCAATTTGGATTTCAGTAGTAAATATAGTGACTGTGACAGTAAATTAAAGTGGCAATGATAGTAAATTAAAGTGATTATGATAGTAAATTTAGTGACTGTGATAGTTAATGAATGTGACTGTAACAGTAAATTAATTAACTGTTATAGCAAATTTATTTTTGTGATAGTAAATTAATTACTCTGATAAAAAAATTTACTGTTGTGAAAGTAAATTACAGACCTGTATAAATACAAAAGTTCCGGACACTTCTAAATCTGCTGGAAGCGCCAATAGCAAATGCCAGAAAATCGGTCACTGAAACAATTGGAAATAAATTATCGCTATTGGAAATGGATTTCTTAAAAACTGACCTGACCTCAGCTCTACCTATGCAACAAATGTACCAGGAAATGTCCCGGGAAGTAAACGTAGCTGACCTAATATTTAACTCATCACCGACTGACTGCCGACTATTCTATAAAAATATGGGTCTAATAAACCAGTGACGTGAAACAGGTCCCTCTTTATTGACTATGTATTCTTCTTTTTTTAGTCCATGCCGTATGGCACTGGTAGCCATGTCTATCCATAACCTTCTGTTTCGTGTACTTTCAATCAACTCTGAGACAGATGATCCTCCATGCCATGATGTCAAACTGTCCAGCATCTTTTCTCTCAGTCTCCCTCTGTCTCTTTCTCTCCTCCAACTTTCCTTCTTTCATGATGAACTATATGGTACTAGATTTATAATTAACAGACCAATCAGGTGATGTGGTGGACAGTTGCATGGCAATGAAAATGAATGACAAATAACATAGCGAAACAAAATTTTGTGAAAAATCTATCTCCCATGGATATTTTGAGGACAATCCTCGATGTTTACCAGGGTCTGATTCCTGAAGTAGGGTGGTTAGGAAAAAGAAAACTATTCTCATGGATTTCAGACAGTGCTAAGAGAGCTGCACCATGGAAGAGAATGGGGCCTCACATTGTCATTGACCTGTAGTTTGCAGTAAAAAATAAATATTTAACAGACAAGTATATGGATTGCACGATAGCTTTCATAAAGGCTACTGGCCTCCTAATAAAAGTTTTCTGACAGAAGGATCGAAGAAGAAGAAGAAGAAGAAGAAGAAGAAGAAGAAGAAGAAGAAGAAGAACAGACAAGTATGATGGTACAAAGCTTCTCTAGCTTCCTTTTTTTCCCCCAGCTGTGAAGTCATTCAGCAATTTGCTTTAACACCCTGACAGTTGTGCGTACAATTTCACAAGTGCAAAGTTTCAGAGATCCTTGTGGACTGTCACTGCCGTGTGTAAGAATCTTGGCGAATGAAATCTGCCAGAAGAGATTGAGCTTTAGGGGATAAAGTTTAGTGCAAGGAAGTCGATCCTCTAATCTTTAAACAGCTTTTCTCCCTCTAGTTCACTAGTGAAGGTTACTACCTCATCATCATCATCAACATCATGCGTCTCCACAGATCACGATCCATGGTTGCCTAGAACACCTCTCTTGATGATATTTAACCATGCCATCGTTTCAGCCCATCCAGCATCTTCTCTCTTGGTCTGCATCTACCCCCTTTTTCAGTTGGTCTTTCTAGTTGTCACGATGTTCTCCAATGTCTCTTCTCATTCTGTGGCCAAAGAAAAGTGTTTGTCTCTCTCTTATTGTTTTATATATAGAGATCTACTTTCATTAGCTTTTTTCAAGCAATCGTTGTTAGTTACTCCAGCCCTCCAAGGTATTCGTAACATTCGTCTCAGAAACCACATCAGTGTCTGCTTCCAAATTGTTTTTAATGTGTTCACTGACATTCAAAGATTCCCTGCCACACAGCAGAACAGGTTTTATGTAACATTTTAGCACTCTCTATCTCTCTCTCTGGGGTTCTTCCTATTATACTAATGAATGCCCCCCCCCCCCCCCCCCTAATCACCAGTAATTTAGTAGGTTGATAACTGAAACACCTGGTTTATGCCAGGTGAATCAAGCATATGATGCTAGATTTATGTGGTGAACTGGTCAAGCCATTCACCTCGTGCTCCGAAGGTCGCAGGTTCATTTCACAGCAGAGCCGTTCACTTCATAGGTGCAATTTTTATGGAGATCCCTGCTGATCGTCGCTGAAGCTACAGAATGTTTGCTGTTTTTACTCTCAGCAGGCAGCTAGCTGTTCTGCAGAGAGAGACTGAGCCTTATGGGATAAAACCTGTCCAATACCTTTACCTTTTACCTTTAACTATAAATTTTTTTTATGGATCTATTGCATTTGTTGGGCAATGCAGTCAACATTACACTCACTGCCTTTAATTCTGAGAATTTTACCTGGTACCCATTTTAAGCTGGGTCACCCTAGAAGCCAAGGTCAAACAAAATCTAACTTGATGCAGGTTGGAACCCAAGACCTTCAGGTGGGTATCTAGTCACTATGACACTACAGCCCGCAGGTCAATAACTGCTGTGATGACCACACAAAAAAGGTTGCAAAGAAAATAATGTAAAACTCTGCCAATCTACAACAAAAACTAAACCAGTTGGTCCTTCCATAGGCAAAACTAAAAAGCTGGCTCATTCATGACCAAAACTAACTGGCCCATCCATGGCCACATATACTCAGGTGGCCCTTCCATGTCCAAAAATACTCAGGTGGCCCATCCATGACCAAAAATACTCAGGTGGTCCATCCATGACCAAAAATACTCAGGTGAACCATCCATGACCAAAAATACTTAGCTAGCCCATCCGTGACCAAAATGGTTGGCCCATCCATGACCAAAATGGTTGGCCCATCCATGACCAAAATGGTTTGCCATCCATGACCAAAATGGTTGGCCCATCCATGACCAAAATGGTTGGCCCATCCATGACCAAAATGGTTGACCCATCCATGACCAAAAGAAATTGGCCCATCCATGACCAAAATAAACTGGCCCATCCATGACCAAAATGGTTGGCCCATCCATGACCAAAATGGTTGCCCTTCCATGACCAAAATGGTTGGCCTATCCATGACCAAAATAAACTGGCCCATCCATGACCAAAATGGTTGGCCCATCCATGACCAAAATAAACTGGCCCATCCATGACCAAAATAAACTGGCCCATCTGTGACCAAAATGGTTGGCCCATCCATGACCAAAATGGTTAGCCCATCCTGACTAAAATGGTTGGCCCATCCATGACCAAAATGGTTGACCTATCCATGACCAAAATGGTTGGCCCATCCATGATCAAAATGGTTGGCCCATCCATGACCAAAATGGTTGGTCCATTCATGACCAAAATAAACTGGCCCATTCATGACCAAAATGGTTGGCCCATCCATGACCAAAATAAACTGGCCCATCCATGACCAAAATGGTTGGCCCATCCATGACCAAAATGGTTGGCCCGTCCATGACCAAAATAAACTGGCCCATCCATGACCAAAATGGTTGACCCATCCATGACCAAAACAAATTGGCTCATCCATGACCAAAATGGTTGGCCCATCCATGACCAAAATGGTTGGCCCATCCATGACTAAAATGGTTAGCCCATCCATGACCAAAATGGTTGGCCCATCCATGACCAAAATAAACTGGCCCATCCATGACCAAAATGGTTGGCCCATCCATGACCAAAATAAACTGGCCTTTTCATGACCAAAATGGTTGGCCCATCCATGCCCAAAATAAACTGGCCTATCCATGACCAAAATAGTTTGCCCATCCATGACAAAAATAAACTGGCCCATCCATGACCAAAATAAACTGGCCCATCAGTGACCAAAATGGTTGGCCCATCAATGACCAAAATGGTTGGCCCATATATGACCAAAATAAACTTGCCCATCTGAGATGTGCGTTCCGGCGCTGAGAGGCGTAGGTCCCCATTGAAATGTGGCAATCATATGCCGCTTAACATCAAGTACAATGCCACCAGCAAAGTGTGGCAGAACAGTATGAGATTAATTTATAATGACGAAACAGGACGTCTGTAATGCTAAAAATGAACTTTAATGCTTCCAAACAGCAGTTAAACATTGAAGGCTAGGAATATATACTATTGGTGTATAGTCGAACACACTTGATCAAAAATGAGAAAATAATAGGACTCTTGGTGACTCACCCAAACACGCCGACACTTGCTACCGCACGCACACTCTTTGGATACATTCAAATGACAGGGAGTCCGGACAGTCACATCCTCTCCTACAGCCTGAACAGGGCAATGTCCCTCTTTAGTGATTCGACCTGGAGATCCCTTACTTTAAAATATACCAGCTTCTTGTCGAGTGCAATAGACAATGTACCAGCTTTCGGCTGAGGTTTCTAGTGGAGTCCTCGGGCAGAGCGTCCTCAAGGATCCACACCAAGGCCGGACCACACGTCCGCCTTGGTCAAACTTTTGACTGTCATTCTTTCTGTGGCATCCCGGGGTAGAACGTCCTCAAGGATCCACACCAAGGCCAGACCACACGTCTGCCTTGGTCAAACTTCGACTTCCTATCTCCTAGATTACAATTCCTTAAAAACATTACGTATTGTTTTGACGTCCTATTTGCTCAGTCAGTATTGGTGTGTTTTAGTGCATATCCACACGCGACATCATCCATGATCAAAATAAACTGGCCCATCCATGACCAAAAATACTCAGCTAGCCCATCTGTGACCAAAATGGTAGGCCTATCCATAACAAAATTGGCTAGCCCATCCATGACCGAAAATACTCAGCTGGTCCATCCATGACCGAAAATACTCAGCTGGTCCATCCATGACCGAAAATACTCGGCTGGCCCATCCATGACCGAAAATACTCGGCTGGCCCATCCATGACCAGAACTAACCAGTTGGTCCGTCAATACTAAATCTAAAGTCGACTTTGAAGCTTTTCTCATTACCTGAAGTTATAGTGATTCCAATGCCAGCCTTCTTGAAGACAGTTCCAATACGCTCAGGGATAGAGAGAGAAGTCACTGGCAGTGTCTCGCTCCAGCTGTTCATCAAAAGAAACATGTCATCCACTCCTATACCTGAAGATTTAAAAGCAGTTATAGACTTGTAGGCATGTAAAAAATATGCAAAACTGTCAATTTTATCTACGTTCAATTCAATGACATGTACTGAACATAGTCGGCGTCAGTGGCTTAGGAGTTGCGAATGCACTTCATTATGCCGGGTTTCAATTCCAGCTGCAGGCAATTTGGCAGCAGAACATCTTGCCTTGGTTTCAACAGTGGTATAGGGAGCTGACAGTTTAGAAAGCAATGGCAAACCACTGAAAGTAAAATTTGTCTAGAAAAACTACAACCGCCAAACAATGCTGGGGCTGGTTCTTCAATGTACTGTAAATAGTATGCAACCAACAACTGATCATAATACCAAGTTGAAATGCCTTGTATTTCTATGACATGTCATTATATTTATTTCTATGATATGTCTGAGTAAATTATGACATTTTATATGTTCTGTTTTTTTCTATGAAACATATCTGAGTATATTATCTTCTTCTTCTTCTTCACGTTCGCCAGCTGTAAACTCCAGGGGAAAGTTCAGGTTGTCCCCCTCTGAACTTTAGTCTTGTCCCAGAACTTGAGTTTTGCAAGCACACCCATTTTACAGAACTGGCTTATTTGTAAGCAGACTGTTGGTTCCTTGCCTCTGAAGTAGATGCACTCTGACTTCAAAGGAAACTCCCAAACAGTCGTCTCTTACAACATGCGTATTGGGGAGGTAGTTGGTCTTTTCTTGTTTCTCCACAATGGGGCCCCAGAAGGCACAAAGGGAGAGCATATTATGAATTGTTATATGTTCTATTTATTTATATGACGTCTCTTAGCACATTATGAAGTTTATTATGTTCTATTGATTTATAATAATTCTCTAAGCACATTATAAAGTGTATTTTGTTCTTTTGATATCTATGACATGTCTCTGTGCACATTGTAAAGTTTTTCAATCAATCAATCCTTCTCGCGCCCAGAGGCACATAAGGCAGAGACAAACTGTCTCCTCTAAATCTGATCCTGAGACGTCCTCTCTATCTCGAGTTTTGTCCTTCGTGCAGCCTAAAGTTCTGCCTCAAAACTTTGCCTCCAAGTGCCTCTGGGCCTGTCTCTTCCTCATTGTCCTTGTGGTGTCCATTGCATTGCCTGTCTCGGCTGTCTCTCCTTATTTTTGTCTGAGAACGTGTCCAATCTAACACCATCTTCATTTTTTATTTCTAAATTTAAATCTTCTAAGTCTGTCATTTGTTGCAATCTAAAACTGATTTTATCTTCTCATTTGAATCTCAACTATCTTCTGAGAAGTCTTCCCTCAAAACCTCTAAGCATGCTCTCTGTCTTTCTGTTTTCCAAGTTTCTGCTCCATAGAGGAGAACTGACCTAACACGTTTCTGAGCACATTATAAAACTGTATATGTTCCATATGTTTCTATGTAAGTGTATGTAGCAGAATTATCTTACAGACTAAGGGAGCTAGGACAAGCAATCCTCTTTCTTTCTTCTCCAGGCTTTGGAACGACAATTTCTATGATGAATGAGAAAAACAGATGAAGATTAAACAGGACTAATTCAAGAAATACTGAGAAATCATACAAATGTGTGAACAACTGTTGATATCAACAATTTTAAGACAAAAAATATGGCAATATGCCGGACCTATCAATGGGAGAAAAGGACAGAGAATCACTAAACAGGCACAGTAATGGGAAACAAATGGGCTGAGACAATGAGGATGTGCAAGGAGAAACCCAGAGACAAACACTGTTGACATAAGTTAAAGGCACCGGACTGGATTCCATCAATGATGTTGAACAAATTGCATAGGACAGAATAGAATGGAGGAACAGACTGTAAGCTTTATGTTACATACAACTAACAGTACAACATGATGATGACAACATATTTCTATGATACGTTTTTGGTTCTACTATCATGTTAATATGTTCTATGTTTTCATATGAGATGTCTCCGAGCATGCTGTCAATTAAACAGAGACTGAGAGAGAAACTGACCGAGCTGAGTGAAACATGAATGAAAGAAACGAGGAAGAAGGGGAAGGAAAAGGGCATGCATGTATCTGAAGGTAGAATAGCTAAACGTGAGACAGAGAGAATCAGACAGAAAGAATACAGAAATAAGAAAGAGACAGAAGAAGAAGGGAGGGGAAGGTGGAGAGTGAGAAACAGAGAGAGCAAGAAAAAGAGAGATGTAAAAATAAAAGATGAAGCAAAATAGGAATGGGAAATAGGAGTATAAGAAACATACAAGCAAAAGCTAATTCTAGAATTCCTTGTTGAAAAGCTTACCTAAAGTGAGGAAAGGCATCGTCGCAACAATACTAACAAAGTTCACCCCACACAGTGCCACCAGACCAATGGCTCCTAGAATTCCCATGACAACACCCAACACTCCAGCATTGGCCAGCAGCATACGGGATGACACACAATCACCTCCTGCAAAGTAACTCTTTGTAAATGATCATACGTATATATCAGTGCTCGAAATTACCCGGACAAACAACTAGAGTTAATTGTTTTGATACAGGCTGTGGTTTAGAGGTTGGTGAGTTTTCTTCTTCTTCTTATTCTTTGTGTTTACCGGCTGTAAATTTCAGCAGAATGTTCTAGTACTCCAGGAGTAGAGAAAAGAAGAAGAAGTAGTAGTTATGGTTGTTCTTCCGCTACTGGATTGAAGTATTTTTTTTTTTCAGAAACTGAGTTTTGCATGCACATCTGTTTTTACAGACCTGGCTTATCTGTGTGCAGACTGTTGGTTTCCTTGCTCTTAGGCAAATGGAATCCTACTTCAAAGGAAATACCCCTAATTAGTTGACTTTTAGGACATGCTTGTTAGGGGAGCAGTGACTCTATTCCTTCCTTCTCTCACCCCAAAAAAAAATGGGCCCTAGAACCTACATGGGGAGAGGCTGGTGGATGAGTTTAATGGCGCCCTGATCCTCAAAGACTAGGGCTCGATTCCTATAGCAGTTAATAAATTTTTTTAAATAAACCTTCTTGTGCTTTTTGGTGGTAGTATGAGAGGTGTACTGTGAAAGAAGAGATGGAGTCTCACCAATTATTATTCTCAAAGACACCAGTGGGTACACTGTAGTTAACCTGCACTGCAAATATGGCAAAAAATGTTTTTTAAAGCATAAATACCACTTATTAAAACACCCTAAAGATGCAGTCCTAATTTGTTTTGTGGGGGGGGGGGGGGGGGGGGGGGGCTTCCAAACATGAAGACAAAATAGAAAACATGTGACAGCTGGAACAATTTATAGAAAGAGAGATACACGGAGATAATGAGATAAGTTTCTTCACAGCCTACTGTCATGGCATAGAAAGCTGTTAGCAAATGCTGTAGGAGATTGTATAATGTGGAGAATTTTTCAATAAAGCACTTAATGATTTATACATATCTACAAAGTTCAACTGTAGGTTCTGGCAGGAATAAATAAAGACAGGGTGTATCTAATTTCACTGTGCGTTTACTTGAAGTGTTGTGGAAGCAGGAGTGGACATTACAATGCTTCATCAAGGAACAGTGCACTTAAATGTATTTTCTGTGGTCAGAGGAAGTCAAACCAGCTGATACCAATCGTCAGTTGTTAGCGCAGTATGGAGCAAACACTGTGACTGAATAAAAGGCGTATGAGTTTATAGACTGCTTTAAAGCTGGACACACAAGTGTAAAGGACGAAATTTTAAGTGGATGCCTAAAAAAATCCCACACAGAAGAAATTCTAACAGGTAGAAAACATTATCAGGGATGATTGAAGAATCACAATAGCACAAGTAGTGGAACTCTTGGACATCAGTTTCAGATCTGGAAATGCAATAGTGCATGATGAATTAGAGTACCATACAGTTTGTGCCAAGTTGGTATCCAAGGAACGTGCTGTTAAGCATCAGCAGCTGCATGTAGCAGTGGCTGTCCAGTTTCTTCAATGAAATCCAGCAAGCAGTGCAGACGTGGCTTCTTAAGCAACCAAAAACTTTTTTCCCAGAGGGAATTCAGAAGCTGACTACCGATATCAAAAGTACACTGCCATGCAGGGTATATATGTGTAGAAAATGTTTAATATCTAGTTCTTCTTCTTGTGTGGAAAAAAGATGTTATGCAAAAATCAGGATGTAACAGTAGATAAAAAAAATAGGGTCTATCTGACTTATGACTGAGTTCTATTCCGACTAACAGGTGTCGTAAGCCGAACTGGTCATAAGTTGAAATATATTTTCAACACTATATTCATTCAAGTAGGTTATACAAACTGTACACAAAACATAAACATTCAATCTGTGTACATACAATTATTGTAGACAGTGGGAAAAAATACATAACACATAGTCTGGTGCACCAGTTCAGGCACATTTTGACCCTGTCAATGTAGTTATCTTTCTTTATTAACTGAACAGTCTTTATTTATTTATTTTTTGTGGTCGGCTCTGTTGCTAAGTCGATGCGAACGCTTTGTAATGTCGGGGTGCCGGGTTCATCCCAGCTGCGGGCCATGCGTCTTGTGGTTTCGACAGTGGTATCAGGAGGCAAACCGTCCAGAAAGCAATGGCAAACTAGTGGAGGTAAATTTGCCTAGAGAAACCAGGAGCTGCTGGGGTTGGATGTGCAACATCCTGTAAAGGATACATAACTAACCTAAGGGTGGATGGTCTTGAGTCAAGGAGGTGTGAATATGTGTTAGCACCTCATTTAGTAAGATGGAATAGCAAACATACCAGCTAGATAATACCAAATGAAGAAATCAAAAATATTTACTGAAATATGACTCATTGACTGATTATACTGTATTTTTACATATCACAAACAAGAAATGTCTGACATTTTACCTGAACTGACAAGGGAGGCAAATGTGATCATGAATGTGAAAGTGAGAGAGAAGAACAGAATGTCACTCTTAGTTCCCTTGTCCAGCTCTTCGTTCATAGAGTTAGAGGTGCTGTAAGCAATCTAAAAGAAAAACAAAGACAAACAAAGATAAAGGGATTCTTCTACTTCTTTTTCTGCCTTCTATCCCCCAGTGGAGCACAGTTCCTCAAGCAACTCTTAACAAGTTTTATATCTTTAGCTACTGCATGCAGCTATCCCTATCTTTATAACCATGCCGTCCCCATGTAGGATGCAATTTCTTGTTATTTGAAGCCCCACCCTGGCTTTTACTGGGAGCCCTGAATATGGCCTAATGGCTGAACAGGGTTTCTGGGACCTCTCCTTGGGTGATCCTCATCTGCATGGTGGCACTTTGTGTCGAGGGGTGTTTATCGCTTGTGTGATGTCCTGGTGGAGTATAATTTAAATACATCCTCATGTCCTCCCCATAATTCCATAATATGCAGGTTTTTGTGGCTATTCTTTTTATAAGATGAGGTAGTCAACCAAAAGCCCAAGTCTACCCCTAGTCACCTCTTACAACATGCCTGGTGGGCTGCAGTGTTACTGTTCTTTGCTTCAGATGAGAGTCCTGTAACATATGGGCGAAAATAATGATTAGCACTCGTAACAAAAGATCACAAAAGAAGTACATATCTCACGTGATTGATTTGTTCCGACTCGTAAGCCAGCATACCGCGATCGAAACCCACTGCAGGCTGCGTGTATTTTTGTCGTGGTATGGGACGTCGCAGGTCGACCCAGCCTAAAATGGGTACCAGGATGGGCTGTCCTGGGAAAGTAAAGACAGCTGGCGTAATGCTGACCACATTACCCACAGAGTGCTGAGGGTCTGTAAAAATATGGGACGCTCTGCCCATATGCCCGATGCGCCGAAAGGCGTGAAAAGGGAACTTTACTTTTTTTTTTATTTTGTTTATTCCTTTTATGTCTTCTTTGCTAAATCCTGAAACCAAAAAGCATGGTATTTCTGAGAACCAGATATGTTTACATTGTTTTATTCCTATTCTTTTGACCAGTGAAGCAGTTTGTTTCTTTCTTCTTTTTCTAAGCATTCGCCGGTAGCAAACTCCAGCAGAAAGTTCTGGTTGTCATCCACTTGTGGACTTTAGTCTTGTTCCACAACTTGAGTTTTGTCTGCAAATCTGTCTTATCTGGTAATCCTAGTTTCAGCTTCATAGCAAACGGGTCACCCCACAGATGGGGTCTTAAAGATTCTTAATAAATAATGGTTCATTTGTCTTAAAGATTCTGCTTATTTTCATGCAGACTGCTACTTCGTCACCTCCCAGGAACATGCATTCTGACTTCTAAAGAAACGCCCCTAGTTAGTCACATTTTATGTTATCCTTGTTAAGGGACAGTGGGTTATATACCCCCCCCCCCCTCCCTCCATCCCAAATCAATTGGAGCAGCGGAACCCACACATGAAAGTTTGTTTTTTAAAATTTTTTAAACAATTTTTGTTAAAAATTTATCCCTAATTAATTATGAATTCAGTAAAATTTGAATGCCATACAAACACAAGACTGATTCCAGATCTATCACTCAGAGCTGGAGTATGTCCCTGAACAGATTTGGTTCCCTGACCATAAATCAAGAAAATTCAACCATGAATCAAGAAACTTCAACCAGTTTTCATCTTGTTTGCTGTGACCTGGGAATTAATCTGGTGCAAGAATATGTTGAGTGTTATAAAACAATTTATAAAAACAAAAAACATCATCTATTTGGGCAGTAAAGTAGCCAAAGACAGGGGGAATGACAGAGATTAAAATATGAATACAAAAAGCAAGATGAGTTTTCAAAAGCACTTAGAAATTTGTGGAATATAATAGAAATTAAAACTAGCACCAAACTTAAATAAGTAGTTTGCTCAAATAATTAAATCACAACATACAAATTTCAAAGTTCATTAATATACAGCACCTTCATATGTTTTACAGATTCTATACATTTTGTGCATCTGTAGAAGATTGCCCCCTTGTATTATTAACTGTGGATCTTGTTCTCTTCAGGCAACTGCTATGAAACAATCTGGGACAGCTAGGACACAATGCCTATGCGTTGAGAAATGTTTTAGCTAACTTACATCGACAACTGAGAAATTTGCCTCCCGAATACGCGAGGCAAACGCTGATTCCCAAACTCTGGCGACTTGACCCTCTCTTACAGGAAAAGTAATCTTAAATGATCCAACAGCTACCAGTGCTGAGGTGGCACTGACATCCACTCTTGCAAAGATGCGTGTCAAGTCGACTCCTGGTTGTTCTATCCAACTTGGGTAAGTTACATTTCCAGCTTGAACTTTGTTCCTACCACAGATACAAAAGGACAATATTACAGATATTCATGTTAATAAAAGGTAAAATTGTCAGAGCAAATATCTTTTTTTTTTTTTTCAAGTATCCAGAAACCATGAGTTGTTAACCCTTTAGTTTAATACTATGGATATCACAACCCTTCGGCCTTGATTCCATGATAGATACCGTAAATCTGGGAGAAATGTGGCTTTTCTGCCTAACCCCGGGCGTAAACCCGGGCCACAAGGAGTTAGTCACCTGGTCGCTGCACAGTCGGGTTTAGCCAATTGCACTAGCGAGCTGGGCATTTAACATCTTCAAATGTAATGTTATCTTATGTTATCACAATCCACATCACTGCACATTGGGCATTCCAATACATGCTCAGTCCTCGGATGCACAAGCTCCTCCATGATAGCTATACTCATTAAAACAAGTGTCATAAGTAGGATCTGAACCTAGCCCACAAGAGTATACTGTAGCCTGAACATAGCACGTTAGATCGCTCAAACATCCTTACTTGTGCATGACATAATGCAGTATAAGATGTGAAGGTAACATACCACAAAAATATGAACGAGACAGTCATCATCTATTGGTCATGTTATAAAAAGAGAAAGGGTAGGAGTGTGCAGTGATAACCAGTAAAAAAAATTTATAAAAAGAGTTGAACTTGGGACACTAGGCAATTTTCAAAATATAGGCTTGAAAATAAAGCTTGGAGCAAAGAGAAACACCTAAATAAAAAGATGTATTAGGCCGTCACATAATCTTCTTCTTCTTAAAGTCCACGCAGTGTGGCGCCGGTAGTCATGTCTTATTCACAAACTTCTGTTCCAAGTACTTTTAATCAAGACAAGACTTGATATGGCAACAGACGCGATGTCACAGCTAAATACGATGTGAAAGGGCAAAGTCAGCATCGTAGTCAAGGTCAATATTTACAAATAACTGGTGTTGTTTATTTTCTTACACAAATATGAGAGTTGGACTCTCACTGTGGAAATGGAAAGGATGATTCAGGCTTTTGAATGTAAAGGCTACAGACATATTTTATGAATTAGTTATTTAGAACACAAAACTAATAAATATGTCAGATACAAAATATACTAATTTGCGGAACATCAGGAGCCTCTCTTAGCAGTGGTGAAACGTCGCAAGCTTGCTTGGTTTGGGCACGTGGTGAGACATGATTCGATTGCAAAGATTGTACTTCAAGGAACACTGGAGGGGGGGGGGGAGACAACGCAAAAGAGGAGGGTAAAGAAAATTCTGGAATGACAACACCAAGAAATGGACAGGACTAAGTTTTCATACACTTATTCATCGAGAAGAAGACAGAGAAAGATGGCGGATTTTATGTGCTAGTGCAGCAGCCACAGGCTTGCCTGCAGACCTGAAAGTCGTGGGTTCAAGACATGACAGAGCCAGACTTTTTTCAAAAATGAGCGTGGCTCCCAGGCCAACCGAGCCTCAAATGGGTACCAGGCAAAGTCGTGGGAAGTAAAGGTGTCCAGCGTGATGTTTACCACATTACCCACAGTGTGCCAATTGATCTATATATAGGTTTAGCCTTATATGGTCAATAGACCTAAAGGTGTGGAAAAGATCCTTTACTTTATTTTACTTGATGTGCTACACAGATGCTTGTATTAATGGCCCTGCATATTCCATGTGTCCATCACTTGCATAGTCGAGCTCTAGGTCTGCCTAAGTGAAAGGTCTTTCTGTGGTGCACTGTCTGGTTGTAGTTCTGACCCATCTGATTTGTGTCTCTTTATTCCGATCGTGAAGTATCTTGTAAATTTTAATATAATTAGATTTGATGCGCAGAGGAAAAGCCAAAACAAACAAATAATCATATTAGAAGTTTCCTTCTTCTTCTTCTGCGTTCGACATCAGTCTGGGTCAAAAATAGGACTGTGCGTTTAAGGTCGCCACCGGTCCCCCATAGCTTCTCTCGCAATGTGGATCCTCTGGGCCAGATCCACAGTCTTTGCTGGGAGAGGTAAGGGCAGTACTGCAGTATGTGCTCAGGGTTCTGTCTTTCTGCTCCACAATCACAGGCAGCAGATTCTTTAATGCCTATCCTGTACAAGTGTGCTCGAAGACCACAGTGTCCAGTCCGAAGTCTAATAATTGATGTTTGTTCTTTCCTGTTGAGTTTGTTTATGCTGTCACTCTCTGGTCTGTAATCTCTATTCTGCTTTCTCCACTCCCTGCTTTAGTGCTGTTTTAGTTTCCTTGTAGCTGTGTGGTGGATGAGGTTGTGGAAGATTACTCCCAGCTTTTGCCAACTCATCTGCTCTCTCATTTCCTTGAATACCACAGTGGGCTGGTATCCACTGCAAGACCAGTTCTGCTCCTTGGAGAGTAAGCCCATGTTGGTCATTAGATCTGCAATTAGTTTGTCTTGTTTTTTGCTTGATAGTGCTTGGAGAACAGACAATGTGTCACTAAGTATAACAATTTTGTGCCCTCTATGTTCTTGAGTGATGAGATGTTGGACTGCAGAAAGGAGGGCAGTTGCCTCAGCTCTGAAGTTAGTGCAGATGTCACCTGCTGGTAGAGAGAGAGTTTCTGCTCTACTGCTAGGGGGTTTAATGCATATTCCACAACCCCCCTTTCTGACTGCATCTATAGCAGAGTTGTCGGTGAAAGCCTGAGTCCAAGTGGTGTTTGGAAACTTCTCATCAAGCAAAGCAAGAGCCATGGTTCTCTGTTGTGTCTCCATCTGGGCATCTTTTGAAGTGATCCCTGGTACCTTTAGAACTATATTTGCCTTCTCTGGCTTGCTTGTCCATGGTTCTGGCCTACGTTTTTTGCACAGAGCTACATCTCTTTCAAGCAGATCTTGGTGCTGTCTGTACAGTTATCTAGCAATGTGGTTGGGGCTCTGACGCTTCAGTCTGTTTTTTGTTCTCTCTTGAAATTTAAAATGCAGTGGGTGACTTGAAGTCTTTTTAATTTCTCATACTGTAAAAGAGTTTTGTATTGTCTTCTGAGTTCGAGTGGTTCAGTATCTGCTATCCTCTCTATCTCTCTGATGGGGGTGGATTTCATGGCTCCGAGAACAATCCTTAATCCCATATTCTGAACCTTGTCCAGTTTTCCCATTGTTGTCTTGGCTGCTGCAGCCCATGCAGTGGAGGCATATTCCATGACTGGCCTGACTGCTCCAGTATAAACTTGTTTTAGGATTCTAGAGTTAGCTCCCCATGTGGTACCCGCTAATTTTTTCATCACTGCAAGCTTCTTGAATGCTTTCCCCTGTACTGCTTCTACGTGTGACTTCCAAGTTAGTCGTGAATCAAGTGTAATGCCAAGAAAGGTAGGAGTGCCAGTCTGTGGAATGAGCTGGTTTTTTATCCGAATTTCGATTTTTTCTTTTTTGGGGGAGAGAGAGAAAAGTGATGCTGTGCTTTTTTAATTATTTAGCTTTAGACCCCACTTTTCGGTCCAGGCTTCTACATTTTCCACAGTTTTCTGTAACAGATATGAGGCTGTGGTAGTGTATTCGGAGCCTGTCCAAACTGCAAAGTCATCAGCATGTAGGGTATTATAAACGTGCTGGTGGCAGGTTGCTGTGATATCATTTATGTAAACCAGGAACAGAGTTGGTGCTATTGCACTGCCCTGGGGAACTCCTTCTCTTAGTTTTGCCAGTTTTCCGACATGTCCATCAATTCTGAATCTGGCTCTGCGTTGGAAAAGAAAGTCTTAAAAGAAAGAAGTGACATCAATTAATAGGAACTGCCCTGTCTAAGGAGGATGGGGAGAGTTTGTTTGTTGGTGGCAATGTACACAGTGTTAATATGATGGTCATTAAAACCATACATAATAAAATAGTATTAAAATAAACTCACAGGAAGTTGCTGTCAAAGACAAAAGCTCCATAAATTACACACCGACCAAATCTTTTTTTGCAGACATCATCATAAGTAATGTTCCTTCCATTTTTAGCAGTTACTTCCATTGAGACCACGGTGTGGTAGAAGGACTGTGAACAAATCAAGAGCAGAGTTTTCAATAAGAACATAATGTCTACAATAATAAAATCTTCTACAAAAACATAGGAATACTACATAAATAATGTCTTCTACAAGAACAAAACGTCTTCTACAAAAACATAAGGCCTTCTACAAGAAGAAAGTTTTCTACAAGAACATAAAGTCTTCTACAAGAATAAAGTCTTCATTAAGAACCTAACGTTTTCTACAAAAACTATCAGAATAAAGCTTTCTGCAAGAATAAAGTCTTCAACAAGAATAACTTCTTCTATTATCCAAGTGATAACAACGTCGGGCTCTCATGGGGATGACCCGAGTTTAACCCCTGCTAGGGTGACAGAGTTTTTCTGTCTGGGGCAAAAATAAACACCTTGACGTGCACAGTCCATGGTGACAACACTAACCATGCGGACCTAAATCCTCCGGCTCCTGAACACCACCCCCCCCTCCCCCCCCCCGTCCACACAGCTCTAAAAGGGGTAAATACAGACAGTAGAAAGTTTATAGAAATTATGTATTTTTTTGGGTACCGAAAGAGTTTTTAACTCTTTGAGTCCCAAGGAATGCATCATACGTTCATAGGTTACTGTCTAGAAGCCCAATGAACGCACGATGCACCAATTTTACGTTTCTTTTGACTACCCCTTGGGCCTGTGATGTTAAACCCTCTGGGACTCAAAGAGTTAAAAAAAAGTATATTATAAAACAGAATAAATAATGACACATGATGTTTAAAAAAAAAAATTCCAATTACACTCACCTTCAACTCCTGAAGCACCTCCCCTGTTAAAATGGATTTCTCTTTCTTACTTCTGAAGATGATCTCTGATTCTGGAACCAATTCATTCAAACTGAATGGGCTAAAATTGGTATCAGACTTGTCTGTAAAAGTCTGCCGGACAATGTCTCGTTCATCAATGGATCTTGATATGCTGGGTGCATAAAGATATTCTGCAAAGAAGAAAAATGCTAAGTGCAGATAATCTCATGAATCAGGCAACATGTCAAGTAACTAAAGGAACCTTTTCCATGCCTTCGGGTGTATTGGGCATATAGGGCTAGACCTATATTATATAGACCAATCTGCACTTGGTGAGTGATGTGGTCAGCATTGCGTCGACCACCTTTACTTCCCAGGAATGTATCTGGTAACCCACTCAGGACAGGGTCGACCCTGAAGCCATGGACATTGTTGAAAATAGTCCAGCTCCCTCAGGACTTGAACCCATGACCTCCAGATCTGCAGGTGAGCGTCTAGCTGCTACACCACGGTGACTCCCTCATGCAACATGAATAAATGAATAAAGAACTGACAGCACCGCACTGGGGACATTCCTCTCCTCATTAGCCTAAAAAGTGCCAGCCACAACCTGACTAAAAGTCCACCTTTGTTTTCCCCTCAGCACTGAACATTGTTCAGAGCCTCTACGCCCCAGTGAATCAGTCTTTTGAGGTCTAGATGCTGTCTGTTCTGTTGCAGTGGTCCGCCTGATCCCAGACAGCCCTCACCATGCTTGTTTTATTATAAAAAGATACATTAGAGATGTGACCTATCTAAACCTTTCCCCCCAGCTTCTTCTTTCTTCTTTTGTCAAAATCTGCTTGTGCCGCTAGGCGTCGCAGTCTATCAGATGATCGGCAACCGAGCCAGGGCGCGCTCAGTCGCTTCATATGCCGTGATGTTATGAAGTCTCAAGTTGTCCGTGACTCCTTCAATCCATCTTCTTCTTGGTCTTCCCCTGCCTCTTGGTGTTTCGATTTTCATGTTGTATGCTCTTGATGCTGGCATCGTTGGTTCCATTCTCATTAGGTGACCAAACCATTTCATTCTTTGCTTCTCAATAAATTTAACGATGGGTATGGTTCCAATAGTTCTTGTAATCACATCGTTTCTCACTCGATCTCTTCTGGATTTATTCGCAGCCATTCTCAAACATCTCATTTCACAGGTGGTTAGTCTTCTCTCGTGTTCTTTTGTTAATGTCCAAGTCTGACATTGATAACCTAATGTCGGTATAAAGATTGTATTTATAATTTGTCTTTTTATCTCAGCTGGGACAGCAGGGTGTTTTAAAATTGGGGCAAGCTGGTATGCGACATTGTTGGCTTGTTGGATTCTTGCTTCGATCTCTCTGAAGCAACCTAGTAAAAACAAAGCCAAGTGTATAATTTCAATTTTTGGGGATTTTCCTGTAAAAAATATCATCTAAAACATGAATACATCCTATACAGAGCAAGGGAGTAATCAACACAAATGAATGCAGCACAGAAACAGCTGGCGAACAGATCCTGTGGAGTGTAAACTAATTATAGCCTAATACTTGACTTTATGACCTAGTTGCCCGGTAACCACTGCAGCCAATAAGGGAAAGACATAAAAATACAGTGAATTCTATTAACTAGGCATCTCATAAAGGTTGAATGTTGAATTAGGAATCAACATCACAGCACTCGGTACACTCCCATAAGCGCTCCATCCCTATCTTCAGCAGCAAGAAAAAGAGTTACAATTCCGATGGTACCAGTAACAGTCTGATTGTATATTTGTCTCGCCCCTCCCCTGAGTGTCGAATGTTGGCCAGATCCCATCGTAACTCCTCGCAGTGCCATTCTCCTCAGATCGTAATGATCTATCTGTTCCTCGGCACTGTTCACTCGCTCCCAAAGGACCCTCACAACATCAAGCGTGTCATATATCAGTTCACCACCAAGTGGTGCAGAACCAGCCTGTCTATCCGCCTGCTCATTTCACAACACACCGGCATAACCTGGAGAAAATATCCAAAGGATGTTAACAGCCCAGGACCTCTGAAGTGATGCTTGCCACTTTGCACGAAGCATGCCTGTCTCCACCTTTCTCAGAATGCTCTGTGAGTCAGTTACAATGATGACATGTGTGTACAGCTGATTCTCAAGCCAACGGAAGGCAGCAGTGACTGCCTCCACCTCCATTCTCATACTAGACGTTGTGATATCATATGCCAGGCTTTGTTGCACCAAGCGACCCCTATGCACTTTGTCGACCCCTCACCACAGAGCCATTGTATATACAATCACATCATTTGGGTGGAAATTGTCATGAATCATTTTTTGAACTTCTGATTCTGCAGCACCAGCTGGCCAGTCCCTGCACTCACGTTCCAAAGTGATTAGAACCCTACACAAGTCTGAAACATGATCGGACACTTTGATCCACTCCTCTCCTCGCCTAAATGTATCAAGCCTGCACACATGTCCAATTGTGTCTTCAGTTTGCGCCATAAAAGACTTTCCTCTTTCCAGTCTGTGACCCTTAGCTCTATCCAGGGCTTCATGCAGAAGGTGCCTCTTGTCCGCTGCTACTCTGAGATATGACATTGCTTGCAGAACTTTGAGCCTATCTGCAATAGTAGGCAGTGTAAGTATATATCGCATACATACTATCGGGGTATCTCTTGTACATCCCAGAATCACCCGCATGACTTCATTTTGTATGCGTCTCATAAATACATCTCTATAGGAAGTTAGGCAAGCGGCTTTTACAGGAAAACAGTACCAACCAAAAGAGTCAGTTCTGCAGCCTCTCGGGTTAAAGGCTTCACATATGCTGTGGAATACTGAGAGGAGTAATTTTAAAGCTAGAAATTTATGCTGCCCATTTTGTAGTGCTAGATAAAACAAAAAAACAGAGCTGTAGTAGTAAACGTTAACTTCACAGCAGTAATTAATGGTCAGCTTCAGATCACTAATCCATAGCTTCCAAGCAGTAATGTACAGTTTCAGAGCAGTAATGGACAGTTTCAGCACAGTAATGGACAGTTTCAGCGCAGTAATGGACAGTTTCAGAGCAGTAATGGACAGTTTCAGAGCAGTAATGGACAGATTCACAGCACTAATGCACAGCTTCAGAGCACTGCTGATTAGCTTCAGAGCACTAATAGATAGCTTCAGAAAACTAATGGATAGTTTCAGAGCAGTAATACATAGCTTCAGAGCACTAATGGTTAGCCTCAGAGCACTAATAGATAGTTTCAGAGCATTATTGTATAGCTTCAAAGCATAATGACTGTTCTTGAATCCCACAGTGCGCTGCAGGGCTCCATTGCTGAGAAAACAAGATTAGTCTCACTGCCTTCCTTACAGGCATGTCGTAAGAGTCAACTAATTAGGGGTTTCCTTCGAAGAGTGTACCTGCCTGAGAGGCAATGAACCAAAAGTATACATATAAATAAGCAAGATCTGTTAAATGGATGTGCTCGCAAAACCCAAGTACTGGAACAGGACTAAAGTCTAGAGATGGATGAGTAACCAGAACTGTCCACAGCTGGTAAGCACGGAGGAGAAGAAGAATCACACATATTAATCAACAGTTACACAGTAAATAAGAAAATGACTCTATTAACCATAGATATAGTGATCACTTTTATAACCTATTACTCAAGGACAGTCCTGAGCAATTTTAGGTAATATGGGGGTTATCCATAATCCTAAGGATTGAGGATCACAAGGCTGGTGCAGTTGCTACAGACTGTGCAGGTTATAATTTTATTTTTGCCCCTGATAGAAAAAATGGTGTAGCAACATTAGTCAGGAGTGTCACCCATATGAACCAACATTAGCAAGGATATCGTCCACTTGAACCAACATTATCAAGGATATCGTCCACTTGAACCAACATTGGCAAAGATATCCACTTGAACCAACATTAGCAAAGATATCATCCATTTAAACCAACACTAGCAAGGAGTACCATCCACCTGAACCAACATTAGCAAGGAGTATCATCCAATTGAATCAACATTAGCAAGGTGTATCATCCAACTAAACCAACATTAGCAAGGAGTATCATCCAACTGAACCAACATAAGTGGCGAGATGCCAACATCAGCAATCAGTATCATCCATGTGAAAAAAACCTTAAAAAGAGAATCATCCGCATGAACCAACATTAGCAAGGAGTATCATGCACATGGACAAACATTTGCCATCAATATCATCCATGTGAACCAACATTAAAAAGGAGTATCATCCACATGAACCAACATTATAAAAGAATTATCATCCACATGAACTAACATTAGCCAGGAGTATCATCCACAAGAACAAACATCAGCAATCAGTATCATCCGCATGAACAAACATCAGCAATCAGTATCATCCACATGAACCAACATTAGCAAAGATGCACTTAAACCAATAACTATGGAATATGAACACAACTGACATTCACCATGAAATAGTAATTAAATTCATTTATATATATATTAACAAAGGAGAGGTAACTCCAACACCTGAACTCATTAAACCATAATACTGTGCCTAAGGCCTTGTCTAATGAACTAGGCCATAATAGATTAATATGATCACACAAACACAACTTACCAACTCCATCCTTTGGCTGTAGATTTGTTAATCCAACAGCTAGTCCTCCACATATCAATATTGGGATGATCAGAAAACAAAATGGGTGTTGTGCCAAGAAATGGCCATAGCTGTAGAACCAGTTCAGTACAGCTCTTTGGCAGTTCCATGCACACTCCATCTTGAATTCTGGAACACAGTTGTAAGTAAGACATTTGTATGGACATTCTTCTTCTTCTGCCTTTCTAACCCCCACTGGAGCATACGCCCTCAACCAACTCACACCAAGTCGATCTATCCTTCGCTATTGCATGCAGCTCTCCCCATCTTTTTAACTTCACTCTCTAGCTCCTTTCTCCATGTGTTTTTGGGTCTTCCTTTATTTCTATGCCCCTGTGGGTTCCACTGCAGAGACACTCTGGTTATACTGTTCTCAGGTTTTCTCAACGTGTGTCCTATCCAACGACAGCGTCTTTTCTTCACCTCTTGGTCCACTGGAACTTGTTTAGTTCTCTCCCAAAGCTCTACATTTGTGATTCTATCGTACCATTTAAGTCCGTCTATTCTGCGCAGCCACCATTAAATGAATTGTTGTAGTTTATTAGTAACTGCCTTAGTTGTTCTCCATGTTTCCGCTCCATTCAAAAGTACTGATTTGACATTAGAATTAAACATTTCAAGTTAAATATTTCTTTTAATTTCTTTTGACCTCCACATATTCCCTAGTAATGTGAAAGCTCCTCTTGCCTTTAGTATTTGTATTTTAATATCTCTGTCTGTTCCCCCATCTTTATCTACATTACTGCCCAAAGAGGTGTACGACTCCACGTCTTGGAGTGGGATACCATTAAGTGAAATCACATTAGTATTTGCCTGATTTATTCTCCTTATCTTTGTCTTTTCCTTACAGATTTTCAGACCTAGCTGCTGTGATCTTGCACCAAGCATATTTAATTTATCTTGCATCTGATTCCGTGAATGGACATTACTAAATATTATCAGCTAAACAGCCCTCACATTAGATGCCTAAGAAGAAAACTTGGCAAGATAGGATCACAAAAACACTGAGGTATTGTAAAGAGCAGGTATATACAATAACAGTTTTTTCAATGCTCAGTCTGTGAAGGCTCAGGTCTCTGGTACAGTTCCTAAGGACTCTGGTGAATTTCACATGGTTAGGAGATGTCAAGGCTGCCTTAGACCATAGAATAAAGATGTGTGTAAATGGGGCATGAATGATACAGGTACTGAGGTAGATTTGTAGGAACAAAATACCATGGATAGTGTTTCAAGAAGGGGGAAAAATCAGCAAGGGAATGAGGAAAAACATAACTGCAGACATTTGTACTGCTGGGTGTCTGAGAAGAAGTAAACTAAAAACAGGTGATGGCAACAACGGACCTGAAATCGCATGCTCTAATTGTGGAAGACTTTTCTTAGTGTGGGTAGGTCTTGTTAGTCACATTCGCCATTGCCATATGCTGTGATTTCCATGCCTCCTTGAGCACAAGATAACACTGTCATCTGGAGAGATGTCAACAACAACTAAATACAATCCCCACTCTTCATTCAATCTGTAAACATAAGGGCAGCCCCACAGCAGATACTGCTATTGTTTGTGAGGGGTGGGGGTGGAGGGGGGAGGGGCATCACTGGAGTTTAGGAGTTTCATCTTAGCAAACAAACAGTTGCTCAGTGAAGAGAGGCAGAGCCATATGAGTTCAAACCTGGTGCAATGAACTTGATCCTCTCATCTCTGAAAAACTTCTCCTTCTGCTTCTCCAGTCCTGTTCTGCCTTTCTTTTTCTTCTTCTTCTTCTTCTTCATCTTTGTGATCATCAGCTGTAAACTCCAGCAGAAAGTTCTGGGTGTTTGTCAACTTTTGCACATCGATTTTACAGATCTGGCTTATTTGTAAGAAGTCTGTTTATTGGTTCCCCGCCTCTCAGTAAGCTTTGCCAGTCAGTTACAGTCACAATATGTGTGTGCCCATGATCCTCAAGCCAATGAAGTCCGCAATTTACATGTCACTGAGGCCCTGTTTTTGGCCGCCATAATATGTGGCCGTTTTTCGGAGGATAGCCAATATATATATGGCGCGTCTTGTGATTAATAATACATGATCAAAAACATGCCTGTTATTATACTTACTTCTAGAATTTAAACCGGCTGCGTTCTTTTACAACGAATTTGCTCTTCTTCGTCGAACAACTGCAGGCATTAGTAAGAATATAATTATAAGTGAAGCAATCACATCATCAGTAAAAGTAAAACCAGGCTTGTTGGCGTCCGAGTCTTATTCTAAGCTCGTCCTTCAAATTAACAAGAGCAGACCACCATAGTTTTTTTTTTTTTCTGTCTAAACATCCATACACTGCCAATATATTAACAATGTCTATACATTTTCAGAATTGCAAACAGGGTTTATAATGCACAGAAATGCATAAAATGCAAACAAACTAGAGAAATATTCTTCACGTTTTGCATCAGTTTCCCCTTAAACTCCATTTCTCGGAAAAGTATGACGTCATGCCAGGATTTATTTTTAGCTACGGAAGTTCATTTAAGATCTCAGGGTTTTCCCGATTTATGAGCACCTGGTCAGGAAAGATGGCTGGACTGGAGAAACGAGATCTTCCAAGAGAGGAAGAAGAAAAAAGCCTTAGAGAACATTGTTGGGATAGGCCAAATGTTTTGATCTGGATTCCATCAGTGATATAAAAATGGTTGCATAGATAAGGGCGGAATGGAGGAATAGACTACGAGCAATACGTGATGACTGGAAGATGATGATAAAATCAGGAAGTGAAAGTGAAAGAACGGAACGAATCCCGTGGAACGGAAGTGAATCATGAACAAATAACGTCACGGATGCGGTTATGTAGTTTCGGAGGAAATGGTCGTTCTGCGGACATGGGATAAAAGCCGGTGCAATAAAGTCGATCCTCTCGACTTTAACCTTTAACCTCTAGGCACATCAGGAGATGTGCACAACCTTAGTCGTTCCCCCACGTGAGTTCCAGTGTCCCATTTTAGAGAGATAATTAATAGTCGCCAATTCCCCCCCCCCCCCTTTTTTTCCAACGCCCTTTTCCAACTCGTAAAAGGCGACTATTTATGGGTCCGCTGAAATCGGATGTTGTGAGGCGAAAGCTGCAGATATTGCAGCCTGGCTGTAAACCACAACACAGTGTGCTCTTTTAGAGTCAAACGCAGAAAAAAAATGCAATCCGAGGACGGGTAAGTTAGAAAGGAAGCGAGGCAAAAGTTACAGAAGACATGCTTTGTGCGACGCTCGCGGAGAGAGACCGGGCTGTACGGGAAAAACAATACGAGCGACCCAGCGCATTTTGTTGACTCTCCGACCTTAAAACCTTTTTATTACAAAAATCTAGATACTTTTTTTTAACCTCTAGCAACATTTTGGGTGCCGCCGTGGTCTAGCGGCTAGAAGCTCGGCTGCGGATCGGAGGGTCGTGTCTAGAAGCTCGGCTGCGGATCGGAGGGTCGTGTCTAGCCGCTAGAAGCTCGGCTGTGGATCGGAGGGTCGTGTCTAGCCGCTAGAAGCTCGGCTGTGGGTCGGAGGGTCGTGTCTAGCGGCTAGAAGCTCGGCTGTGGATCGTAGGGTCGTGTCTAGCGGTTAGAAGCTGGGCTGCGGATCGGAGGGTCGTGTCTAGCGGTTAGAAGCTCGGCTGTGGATCGGAGGGTCGTGTCTAGCGGCTAGAAGCTCGGCTGTGGATCGGAGGGTCGTGTCTAGCGGCTAGAAGCTCGGCTGTGGATCGGAGGGTAGTGTCTAGCGGCTAGAAGCTAGGGTGCGGATCGTAGGGTCGTGTCTAGCGGCTAGAAGCTCGGCTGCGGATCGGAGGGTCGTGTCTAGCGGCTAGAAGCTCGGCTGTGGATCGGAGGGTCGTGTCTAGCGGCTAGAAGCTCGGCTGCGTTTTGGAGGGGTTGTCTAGCGGCTAGAAGCTCGGCTGTGGATCGGAGGGTCGTGTCTAGCGGCTAGAAGCTCGGCTGTGGATCGGAGGGTCGTGTCTAGCGGCTAGAAGCTCGGCTGTGGATCGGAGGGTCGTGTCTAGCGGCTAGAAGCTCGGCTGTGGATCGGAGGGTCGTGTCTAGCGGCTAGTGGCTCAGCTGTGGATCGGAGGGTCGCGTCTAGCGGCTAGAAGCTCGGCTGTGGATCGGAGGGTCGTGTCTAGCGGCTAGAAGCTCGGCTGTGGATCGGAGGGTCGTGTCTAGCGGCTAGTGGCTCGTAGGGTCGTGTCTAGCGGCTAGAAGCTCGGCTGCGGAGCGGAGGGTCGTGTCTAGCGGCTAGAAGCTCGGCTGCGGATCGGAGGGTCGTGTCTAGCGGCTAGAAGCTCGGCTGCGGATCGGAGGGTCGTGTCTAGCGGCTAGAAGCTCGGCTGCGTATCGGAGGGTCGTGTCTAGCGGCTAGAAGCTCGGCTGCGGATCGGAGGGTCGTGTCTAGCGGCTAGAAGCTCGGCTGCGGATCGGAGGGTCGTGTCTAGCGGCTGGACGCTCGGCTGTGGCTAGTAGGGTCGTGTCTAGCGGCTAGAAGCTCGGCTGTGGATCGAAGGGTCGTGTCTAGCGGCCAGAAGCTCGGCTGCGGATCGGAAGGTCGTTGGTTCGGTTCCTGGCGAGGGCCATATTTTATTCAAAAATAACCTTGGCTTCCATGTCGACCCAGCCAATACCAGGTACAATCCTGGGAAGCAAAAGGGGCCAGCGTGATGCTGACCACATCACCCACCAGGTGCTGTTTGTCTATAATATATAGGTCCAGCCCTATATACTCACGCCTGAAAGCCGTGCAAAAGGGTCCTTTACTTTATTCTAGTTAAATTTTCGCAAAAAGAAAAACAATTTACAGCATTCTATTTGACCATGCATATAGGCAGATGCCGGTCATCATCATCATGTAGCAGGTCCTTTGCAGAACATAGCTCTCATCACGGTCTGCCTGAAAGAAACTCGGTCTCTCGCCAGTTCTCCCATCTCATGCACTTTCATACTCAAGGAGTCACTTATATCCCGTGCCCATCTTCGTGTTTGTCGGCCCCTGCCCCTCCTTCCTGGTACCATGCCCTCTGCTATAATTTTTTCCAATCCGTCGTGGCTCTTGATATGACCAAAATATTTCAGCATCTGAGACAGGA